TTACACCTGGTGGCCACTGAGCAACTAGTGAACACCAGGGATTTAGGACCCGCCGCCACCCCCACTGCCCAGGGAGTACCAGGATTCGGCTTCTGTCCATAGCACTGTTCTAACCAGACTAGGTGCTACGGATCAGCTCGGGATGGGTTGTGTTCCCTGACACACTGTTTAAAGAATATAACTGCCTTCCTCCCTGGGTAAACGGCTGTCACAAATGAAAGGTCAGCAGGCACGGGCTTCAAAGCCACTAGACTCTGTTGGCTTTCAAGACATTCTGCAAAAACAGTAATTAAAATGGTATATTTGAGTCCTCATTATTTGTGAAACAGTTTAGTGTCCTATGTGGTTAAGACTTAGGCTCTATCTGGAGGAAGCTTTCCTCATTATGCCTCATAAGCAAGCTTGAAGTGACACTCATAACTGACCCTATGAAGTGGTTGCAAGGATTCAAGGGGCTGATGTAAGCAAATTCTTTGGACTAGTTTTGGGTGCATAATAAGCCTTCAATAGGCATCAGCTTTTATTCTTAGCAGGAGGCACTGGCTAGGCTTATCCAAATGCTATCATGGGATCCTAAAAACACACTTACAAGGAAGGACGTATCTCAGTCGTGTACACAGGGAAACAGGCCACACAGTCGGAAAACCGCAGTGGTGATGGCATCCAGGGCTGCCTCGTCTCACACTCTACCCTGTACTGCTTTCCAAGATGGGGAAGATCACCCAACTTTGAAAATGGGTCAAGTGTTTCAGGGTAGAAATGAATGTTTGAGAACCTTATAAGTTTTGTTTTTCCGAAGAATGTCAGGGTACCAGTCTAGAGGGACGCAGCAGGAAATGTGACTGTGAATCAGTTGCCTGATAAAATAGTCAGGATGGAGCCTGTGTCATTGCAGGACTCAACAATGTCACTGAAAACGTCAGTTGCTTATTCCAGTGTCTATTTCCCTTTAAGACATGAAAGGAGAGTTCAAAGAGAATGGCCCAGATAGCACCACAACTCACATTATTAAAATGTATTTGTTTTTATTAGCTGTTTGCTTCAATGAGAGTTATACTCTCATTAGCATGATACCAAAAATTTACTTTTCACCAATTTCTCCTAGTGTGTCATCTGGATCTAGGGTGTACAGGATTATGTTCAAAACACGCAGTCTTGTATCTATATTTCTTGCAGCACTCAAGACCCCTGAGTTTAAATCAATTCAATTCAGTGAACACTGAGTCCCTTTCATGAGGAAATACTATTCCAGAGACGACAACGAATGAGACATGGTTCCTGACCTCCAGGAGCTTACTGTGTCTAAAACTGTGCTGACCAATACAGTTATCAGCAGCCACATGTGGCAATTTACATTTAAATTAAAGTGAAAAATTCAGTGCCTCAGAGCACTAGCCACATTTCAAGCACTCAGTAGCCATATATGGTTCCTGGCTACCATGTTGGACAGGGTAGTATAGAGCACGTCCATCATTGCAGAAAGTCCTACTGGACAGGGCTGCTGTACTGGACAAGGGCAAGAGTTCTTCTTTGGCAAGCCTGCTGCCCCAGTTTTGGGGTTGGAGTGTGGGTTACTCTTAGGCAACATGTGGGAATAGCACTGCTCTCAGGCTTGACACTTGAAGACATGGATTCGGATTCTGCTTCTGACCTCTGTTGGTCTTTGGCAAGGCTCTTCCCCTTTCAATGCTGGTTTTCCCACCAGAAAGCATGGACACCAGGCCACAAGAGCTCTATGATTCCTGCTGTCCAAATGCTCTGGGATGTTGTGAATGAATCAGCCGAATACGTTGTCTGTGTGTGTCACGATGTGCCAAAGCTAAAAGAAACTCCAAAGAATGCTGTTTTTCATTTTAGAAGTTTCATTTTAAATTGACTCTAATTGTCAATACTGAAAGTCTATATGTGCAGTCCTACACTTGCCAAACTGATTTTTAAGATGACATTATTTTATTACCCATCTTTGTAGAACATCAGGGTTTCCCTAAAGGAAACTTAAATGTGTTTCTTTCTTTCTTTTTTTTAAATGTGCTCTAGAATTTCAGTTTTGATGCCTCCTTACCCAAGCAGCAGGCTACCAATTTTCTGTCCCCAAAGTGTTGTCAAGTTAAGTGCTGACAAAAACCAGGAGCCAAGCCCTTGGTCTAGAATGTGGTGATTCCCCACAAAAAGAGAAAAGAAAAAAAAATCATAGAAATAGCAAACCCCAGGTTATTTCTGTCCAGAAAAAAATGAGCATTCACTGAGGACCTTTGGTGTTATGAGGTATGTAGGTCCTTCACCTCATTAAAAGACTGGCCAGTGTAGGCTGGGCAATCCCTGTTTGCAAAACAATAGCTGATTAAAGAAAAATTTCCATTTCCCTCAAGTCTATGATGTGTGACTACACTTACTGGTATTAAAGAAATACCAATTCTATATCCTTTTTTTTTTTTTACTATTAAAGTATCATTGATATACAATCTTATGAAGGTGTACCATGAACAACATTACAGTTACACCATTCACCCAGGTTATCAAGTCCTCACCCCCCAATTGCGGTCACAGTCCATCAACGAATACAGAGTCACAACTTGTCTTCTCCGTGCTGTACTGCCTTCCTTGTGACCTACCTATATTGTGATTGCACCACTTCTGTTTCCTTTTAAAATGACTATCTTAGCATGGTGTCCTTAAGCCTGGGCCCTCTAGATTTTCTCATTGACAGTGTTCTTCTTCCTGTATCAGCTGGCAAGCCAACGGTTTCCTTCTTTTTATCTAGACCACTGAGAACATTACATGGGACCCAGTCTAGGATGTGGAGCCCAAGGCAGGGCAGTCTAGTTCAGAAGACCCAAGGAGGGTGGCTTTGTGGCACTTTGTGGTTCAAATTCAGCTTCTCAGTACCAACAGGGGAACTTCTGGGTCACCCTCTGCCCCCACCACCCCGGATAGGTTTCAGCACGAGGGGTTTGGAGAATGAGTTGGGCTTACCTACTTCTTACCAGTGCAGCGAGAGCTTGGCCTCTGGTCAGGTGCTTCCAGTCTGTCCACCTTTCTGCCTTCTTTACTTCTCAGGTAAGTTGTGGGGTCAAATGAGCTGGAATATGACACCTACTCTACCACTTTGCGGAAGTTACTAGCCTCGTTGAGCCTAAATTGCCTGGGCTACAGAGTGAAGATAAATAATAACTGTGTTGCACATGGACGACCTGCTGACCAGGCTGTACCTGTGGCTCCTGATGCGGGAGAAGGAGTCAGGGCCTGGCGCTGGAAAGTGGGGAGGGAGTCCGGGACTTGCCACTTTCTAGCTGTGCAGGCTCCGGAGGCTCTCCTTGAGTTGTTTCCTGTTCAGTAAAATGAGGATTCCTGGTAATTCACAGGCTCTGCATGGGAGTTACAGTGCTCCTTTAGGCCTGTTACACCAACAGCCTCGAGCCAGGCTTCCTGCTTCCCCCCACCAGTGATCTTTCAGTAACATGTCTGATCCCACATGGTATACCCCTGTTTAAAGCCCCAGCGGTTCCTTACGGCTTTTTAGGGTTTGCTGGGAACACTTCTGGTAGTCAGCACAGAAAACCCCATATGCCAGGAAAGCCCTCAGTTGGGCCGCCCCCCTGCAAGTCCCTGCCCACCTCCTAGCACTCATCTCTCACCACTCACCTCTGGTCACTATGCACTTCTCTGTCCATTGGATCCACCTGGCGAGTGTTGGACAAAATGCCCTTGCCCTGGCCCTGCCTGTTCAGAATCTGATTTCACTGGTGTGGAGCCGGAAAGCTCCCCGGTGGCTCTAAAGCACAGCCAAGGTTGGGAACCCCTGCTCTATTCTTGCAGGTCTCCAGACAACCCGTGTATTGTTCCCTATGCCTGAGCTGACCTTTCCCCTGGTTTCTTCCCTTGGGTAATTCCTGCTTATCTTCATCCAACTCAGGAGGCTCTTCCTCCCGGCAGCCCTCCCAGACCTCTCCAGGCAGACCCGCCTACATTGCTCTGCTGGGCTCTCAGAGCACACTGGGCGTGCTTTCATCAGAATCTGATCATTCTGCATTATGACTGTTGGTTTACCCCAACTCACTCCCTCATTAGATCTTGAGCGTCTTTCAGGAAGAGATTTCATCTTTCCTTCTTGTATCCCTGGAGCCCAGCAGGCTCTGGCCCATTGCAGACTTTCAGTAAGTATTTGGTGAACAAATTAATCAAGACAAGGCCATCTGACCTCTTGTGAGTTACAGTCTAAGAAAGAAACATCAACACAATAACCCGAGTCTATTATAAGAACAAGAGGTTAAGGAAAAAATAGATCTGAGTATGATACAATGCTTTAACAAATCTATAAAAGTAGACAACCCCGATATTCAAATTGAAAGAAATTCTTAGTTTTGCTCTTCAGTGGGTATTGATTTTTTTCTATTCCAGGGGGAGAAAAAAGATACATTAGGAAATTCTTCCTCCACCCACATGATCTGTCATAAAAATGTAACTGGAAATGATTTCTTGGACTCAATCATTTTGGCTCCATGATTTTCTTTTTTCCTCCTTGTCCTTCCCTCAGCTGGCCGTCCTTATGTGTTTGCAGAGGCGGGAAGGTTCAGTGCCAGGACTGTTTCTCTCTCTCTTTAAAACTCTTTTATCAGTAGGCTTTCTGATCTTCAAAGCAGCCTGTCTCCAATGTGACCCCACTCCCTCAGACTCCCCATGCTGGGCAGTGAGAGCTGTGAGTGTTTTTGTCATTTTGACAACTTGCATGTTTGGACTGCCTTGGACAGCCAGATAGTGTGGCCCTCACTAAATCTGCAGGGAAGAGCAAGTCAGCATTTCTAAGCGCCTTTCACCCCCAAATCTAGACACACTGGAAAATTAACACCAGACCCTGGAGTTAAGCAAACAGTAAGTTTCTAGGTCTCCTTGCCTTTGGTCCATCCCATGGGGCAGCAGCTCTCATCCTCTGCCTTTTCGTGTAGTCCAGTCTTTGCTGCTGGTGTTCCTCAAATTCTCTCAACTTCTGTGACTAATTGCAGTGTTTGATCCTGGATAAGTTTGAAAGCTATGATGATGAAATTCAGCTCACCCAACGAGCCCTGTCTCTCCTGGAGGAAAACAGGTTCTGGGCTGGTGTGGTGTTTCCTGACATGTACCCCTGGACCAGCTCCCTACCACCCCATGTGAAGTACAAGATCCGGATGGATATAGATGTGATGGAGAAAACCAATAAGATCAAAGACAGGTGATTCTTCAGTCACTCTCAGAAGGCCCTGGGCAACTCCAGGGATGTATGAGGCAAGGAGAGGGGCCTCCTCTGGCCTCAGGCCAACCACCTCCTCCTGACAGGGTGGGTGCAGGGGTAGGAAGGTTACTGGGAAAGGCATAGAAACACTTTGGTATCAAAGAAATAAGCTAACCACTTGGCCCTATTAGTTGGTAAGACTGGAAGAACTCAGCTACCCTACCTCACCCCTGCAATTCAGCATTTGTCCCTGCCTGGCCTTTGTACAATTTGGAGATGGAAACCTCTAGGTACTGAATTATCTTCACATAGAGATTCTGCAAATGGAGTTTCTCCAAAGTCCCTGGGAAATCATATTTGGTATAGAATAAGGGACTGAGACTGGACTCAGCTTATAAATCAATAAAATTAAGTTAAATCAGAGGAAATAAAGCTCAATGTAGAGCCCTTGAATGAAAGCAATTATAGGACATGTTGTGGATGACTGAGATTTAAACTGTGACCTAGAACATAGAATCAGTTTGGAAAAGGTTAGGGGTAAAGTGTCAGGGGAGTGAGTTCCGAGTCACCTCGTGCTTGTGAGGTGTCAGCTGTCTATTCCTGTTCACATCCTTTGTCCCTCCCTCTGGTTCCTTCTTAGGTACTGGGATTCTGGTCCCAGAGCTGATCCCGTGGAAGATTTCCGATACATCTGGGGAGGGTTTGCCTATTTGCAGGACATGGTTGAACAGGGCATCACAAGGAGTCAGGCTCAGGCTGAAGTTCCAGTTGGAATCTATCTCCAGCAGATGCCTTACCCCTGCTTCGTGGATGACTCGTGAGTCCGGGACTCCCAATCCCCTATCCAGACAAGCTATTGGGTTGCTGAGGTGGGGCTTCAATCTCTTTGGAGAGAAACCAGGCGACTGGGGCTAGCTTGTGGAGGATGGAGCTCTGACTGAGGAGCCTGATTCTCCGAGGCGCCAGGCCAGGCCAGGTGGGCCAGTGAGGTGGCAGGGAGAAAGGAGTTGGTGTGGGTGGAAAAGGGAAGGTGAAAATTAAAGCTATGGAAGAGGTTGGGGGAGGGGACAAAAGCTTTTAAAATTTCCACTGCGTAGTATGTTTGGCATGCGGAAGAGTTCCGTCAGTGTTTGCCCAATGATTGCCAAATCAGCAAATTAGGACCCTGCATCGCAAGTAGGTCCGGTTCCTAGGAGCCTCGGAATAATGCAGCTCTTTCCCTAATTAACATTCCCATGATGGACACTTAATGAAAAGGCAGAGGAATGTGCTGGATGAGCTCCGGCCTTCCCTCCCTACCCACTCCGTCCCCAGGCCAATATGTTTGCTGGCCAGGAGCAAACTAGCCAGCTACCTACTGTTTTCTGAACGTGCATTTGGGAGGTGGTAGGGGGACAGAGAAGAAGAGGGGCTGGAGGGCTCATTTACCATGGTGCTTGGGGGCAGAAATATTCCCAGGACAGCAGCAAAGGCTTACAGTTGGCTCAGGGATGCAACTCCTAGAAAAACACTGGGAAGTTCATCGTAGTGTCTTGTGTCTGTAGGGTTTAGGGAGGACAGAATCATGTACAGCCAGAAGAAAGGAAGAGGCAAATTGCCAGCTGGCAGCAAAGTAAAATAAAGCCTACTATGGGCGCAGGAAGCCCTCTCTCAATGCCCGAGTCCAATCAGTTCTCCTTTCTTGGCCTACAAAAGACCACAGAGGTAACAGTGGCCATTCTGCAGTTTGGGTTTGGGCAATAGGCAGGTATGGGAAGAAGAGCCAGAGGCAAAAAAACCAATTCCACTTTGAGGATCAGGATGGGAGTGGCTGGCAGGGCAGCTGGGTAGACAGTCAGGAAGTAGCGGGACTCTGGCCCTCCGGTGTGGGAGAGCCCTCTGGTGACAGGTTCCAGGAGTGCAGCCGTATGAATTCATGGTTCTCTCCCCAAGGCCATCTTGAGTGAAACCCTCCCACGTTGGAACGGGGCCCCTCTGGTGATACCCAACAGTTTTCAATAGATAATAATCCCAAAGGCTTTACTAGCACATCAAGTGCAGGGGAAACATGTATAAAGTTCATAATAAAGTAATTCCAAAATATCAAATCTCCCCTGCTTGCTGGAAGGGATATCCACTGGTACACGGCTGGTAGAGTTAGCAGTGATTGGATCACTGACTGATTCATTGGTGGTTCAGTTGCCTTCATAGAGTGCCGCACTGATTGGTTATTTGGGGCCTCTTCCTGCACAGCTAGGGTGTGTATGATCCTCCAGGGTAGACCGTGCCATACTTGTCACCTGCCTCAGGGAGCCCCATTACTGACCTCACCACCACCAGTTCCCTGTTTGTGGTCCACCTTCTCAGACTTCACTGTCAGTATGTATGTATGTATCTCTATCTATTCCAGCCACATCCCACACCATCAGATCTGTAGTCCTTTCCTGTGATATCTTTTAAGAAGGTCTACACTGTGTAACATACATAATACAATTTTATTTACACATTTTATTTACGGAGCATTCATCTGGGCTGTCCAAAAAGCTACCATCTTGCTCTAAAGAAAAATTAATCCTTCAGGACAAAGTGCAATGTTTGAAAAGATTCAAGGCCACTGAATGTCCAGGAGTGATTTTCTGCCTTTCCTTTTGCCTGGGCTTTGTTCTCAACACATTCATTTAACAAACATTTACTGCACCTCTAACAGGTACAGAACATTCTACTAATTTGCTTTTCTTCTCTTGTTCCAGTTTTATGATCATTCTGAACCGCTGTTTCCCTATCTTCATGGTGTTGGCTTGGATCTACTCTGTCTCCATGACTGTAAAGAGCATTGTCTTGGAGAAGGAGTTGAGACTGAAGGAGACCTTGAAAAATCAGGGTGTTTCCAATGCAGTGATTTGGTGCACCTGGTTTTTGGACAGCTTCTCTATCATGTCAATGAGCATCTTCCTCCTAACCATATTCATCACGGTAAGCCAGATGGAGAAAGCCCAGAAAATCTTGAAGAGTGTTTTTTATCCCACCTTTCTCCCCATAAGTGAACTTGTGGCTACATCAGTCATCTGTCCACCAAGAATAGCATGACATCATAGCTGCCCCACCATTCCAGCCAAAGTTGAAACGCTCGGAGAGATAGAGTCTCCCTCAAAAAGCCACTGTATCATAGTGTCTTCCCTTCTCCCACTTCCTGCCTAGGGAGCTACAGCCTACATAGATTATCCAGCCCCATCCCATGGACCATCTTGAGAAGCTGCTATTAGCAGAGCCCAGCACAGGGTGATTGTATATACAAAGAGTTCTGTCTTTCCAAACACAGAAAAAAGTAAGTTCATAGAGTGTTTTCCTGGGATTTCTGTCCCAACCACTGGCTAGGGTTGGAACGTGGAGAGCATTTTCAGTGTATTACAAGAGGAGACCTGGACTGTTGATTAATTGCCATCATGGTCAACCATTCGTGGCTTGACCAAAGAACATTCTGCTGCCTGAAAAATCTCCCAGAACTCTCACTTTTAAAGGATGGAATTTGGAATCCGTTCTTTCTCAGTGACAGGAGTTTTTATAGCTGCAGACAGCATGCATAGGTCTATCCTCTGCAAACTTGCAGTGCCTAATAAGCTAGACTTGGAAATAAAACATTGTTTCATAATACAGTTACCCTTCCTTTTTAGTTCCTCCACATTAGATGATCTTTTGTGCTGTTAAATAGTAAGCACATAAATTTAGGTAGTTTTTTATATCTGTTTGATGGGATTTGGTATAAGCTTTAGACTTTGGGCTTTGCAACCTCCCAATATAGTGTCATCAAGCTTGTTCTGCCTCTTAACCATCATCATATTGAGTGCACCTCTGCACTATACTATATGTGTGCTGGCTCACAGACTGACTAGGTGTGTCCTATCCCACACTGGACCATACCTGCTATCTACTTGATCCAAGAGTGTTTCATCACACATCCTGTCCAACAACACATATCCATTAAACCAAATCCTGCCCCCTCTTGGCAGGATATTATGCTAAGTCTGTACTAAGTCTTAAGTGTTACCCTGAGATCCAGTGAGCTGGGTTGTGGCCTTAACCACACCAGTGCTAGAGTCCTATCAAAACCAAAGCTGACAAAGCAGTCATTCTGCTCAAACAACCTGGCCCTATCCAGAAGTGGCCTTAAAGTTGCAGAGTCCCAGAGCTCCACAGAGATGAGGGGAGAAGCTGAGCTCTCTGCCTTCCTATAGGGGCCCTTGTCTCATCCCATCCTTCAGTCTGCTCCTTTTCCCCACTACCAAGACATTTTGTGTCCTCAGATCAAACAGGAGTCAAAATGCATAAGCATCTGACTTGTGCAAAACACATAAACAAGCACGACATTTTGTAATGACCTGAGACCTGTTGCTAATAAGTGACACTGAGATCTGCTTTCCTAAGAATGGGCAGTTGGACTTCAAAGCTTTTAGGACGTGAGGAAAAGAATGTTCACCAAGAGTTTCTTGCACAAAGGGGTTTCTCCTTATGGGAACCAGAACATTGTTCCAGAGATGACGGAAACAGAGCTTTCCCCACCAAAATAGGAGCTTCCTTAGCATGCCACTCCCATCTTTCCATTGTCCTTCCTTCCCACCTCGGCTTCGCAGGAAAGAAGCTGGAAGCTGGAACAATGGGAAGGTTCCACTGTTTTTCAAGCTATTAGGAACCAAAGAGAAAAGTAGTCATTAAAGGAGGCCAAGGCCAGTGAAACTCTGAGTTCAGCCAAGTGACTTTCATCTCTGTCTTAAGTCAATGAGAAATTATACAGCCCCAGAGGTTTGTAGGACTTTACTTTGAGCTAAGAAATTGATTTCACTCTTCTAAGAATAGCAACAATCATCTTAAAGTTCTTACAGCCAAAAGCTACATGTTCAGCTGTGGACTTCCTTTTACCAAGTTGCATGTGGTTAAAGAAAAGAAGTGAGCTTTCAGGGTATTTTAAAACACAAAATCAGGAATTCTTAGTCCTAATTTTGACTTTTGTTTAGCATTCCTCAGAGTTTGGTGCTAGTTAAGTATGGCCCTCTTCCAACCTTCTTTGCCATTTGTTTTATTCTGTTTTTTTCAATCTGTTCTGTCAGTGCCTGCCAGGCAGGAAAATGTGAATAAATGAGAAATGTAGCAATAACAGATAAATGGCACATTTGTTCCACTCAGTTTTCACATACCCATAATAGATGTTGCTAAATGGTCTCTTTATTGAGAAGAACCCAGTGCTCCAGAGCACCACCACCAATTGATCAGAACCCATTCAAGAGATGAACCTATTTATACATTTATGTTGCTGAAAAAAAAACAAGAGGACATGTATTTGGAGTTATATGTAATGGGTAAAAACCCTCACAGGGTATCAGTAGTAATGGAGAACCAAGAAGGCCTGATAAATTTGAACATCTCAGTTTATCCTATAATGTAATTGGACAGCAGGTCACTTAGTGAAAATTGCTAATTTAGTCTTTTTTTCTACACAGCCAAAGTGATTGACTCATTAGTTAATGTGAAATATAGGGAGTCTTGCCCACAAGTTTATGAAATGTATTTGTAGGATATTAGTGGATGGCGAAGATTAATCCACTTCTAAATAATTTGAATTAATTACTGACATTTTCACCAATATGAAAATGGCAAATCTTAGAATACAAGTACAAATGATTGGGTCATCAGGCCAGGCCCCAAGCAATGTGCTACAGTTTTTTGGGTGGTCTCCTGCCACCCTCTTTAGTTCTTCATGTACTCACTACATCCCAGAGCTGTTGATGGTCCAAAACACCTCCACCACTCCTACCCTCTGCTGCAGCAAATCTTCCTCCCTTGCTCTGGGCTCATTGCTCCACACTATCCCCTTCCTACCAAGGATTTTCTTAGTTAACACTTAATAATTACTAGGTACTGATAGGCAGCCTAATGTGTTACCCTCCTAGGGAATGTGGCTTTCATAGGGATTAAAGGAACTCAATGCATTGCGTCTTGAATGTGGAAATTCAGACACAAACGGTAAGCTAGTGGGAGAGACCCCTCTGGGGCAGAGAGCTTCTGAAGGCCCTGAATCACTGCACAGAGGTCACCTCCTGAGATCTCAGTGCCCCTGGACATGGGTGGAATGACTCAAGTGTCCTCTTTGGTTTCAGCATGGAAGAATCCTTCATTATAGCAATCCATTCATCCTCTTCCTGTTCCTGTTGGCTTTCTCCACTGCTACAATCATGCAGTGCTTCCTGCTCAGCACCTTCTTTTCCAAAGCCAGCCTTGCAGCAGCCTGCAGTGGTGTCATCTACTTCACCCTCTACCTGCCGCACATTCTCTGCTTTGCCTGGCAGGATCAAATGACAGCTGACCTGAAGATGGCTGTGGTAAGCAGATGATACATTTTCTCCAAGGGGTCTCTAGCAGTTCTAGAGGACCGTCCCACCCTTTGAGGGGGTCTCCTTTGCCTTGTGGCTCAAAATTATGTAAGGTTTAAAGATGTGGGAGCAGTCTTTACCCTGAGCAACCTAAGAATTCCTCCTCACCAAACTGCTTGATTAGTCTGGCCTGGGAAATAATTGAAAACCAGTTTAATTCAAACCAGCTCAACCCCTTTGTGTATCCATAACAGAACAGCCAGGCCCATTTCACTCAGTTTTATTTTCCCAACATCTGAGAAGATTTAGAAGAGAGGGAGCTTGTTCCCTAAGCATTCTGTCCGGAAAGATGTTCCCATGAATTAAAAGTTTTAGTTCCACTCCAAAAGAACGTGAATCGAGGTAATTCTACAAGTGTCTTTATCGTGCTCCACCAGTGTACATAGAGAGTGGAGCTGAAATAAGCCAGTTAAAAACCAAGCCCTGCTGCAGAAGACTCCAGAAGTTGACTTTTGATTGCCTGAGAGACCTCTTAGTTCTCAATTCTCAAACTAACAGCCCTTTTTCTTAATTGTTTCCAAATGGGTCATTTCCACCCTCTCATTAACCAAGTTAAACAGCTTCCAAGCCACGTAGGGTGTATTTTCCCTTGTCCTGCAGAATCTCCTGGTCCTCGGTTGTCTGTACTATAGGGTCCAGAAAGGACTGCCACCTGCTTCTCACTGGGGAAAGATCTGAGGTCTGTGTGGTTCTCACAACGCCAACTTATTTGGCTTCAGAGCTGCCAGAGCATCTGCCTTTTATTTCTCATGTTAAATAAGAAACTAATTGCTGCTATTTGTAGTACCCAGCTTTCTAAAATGATCACAATGGGCTAGTAGCAAGAAATCTGTATGTCTGTCTCAGCCTGTGAGCAGAGCTGAGCTACCTTGGTCTACTGGGTAAATGGTTGGTACTTTGAGGCCACAGCTAGCTTCCTGGGTGTGTGGATCCACCGGAAAGCTGTAGTCCTGGCAGCTGTGTGGACCAGAGCGTGGATGAGATTTTTAAAGTGTTTTTTGTAAACATATAGCTAGAGAGTTTTCCTTCTGCAGAGAGATATTCTGAACCCACCCTGGGTCCTGCAAACTAGAGAGAGGCCTTCTGAGCAGAGGAAATGGGAATAATCCATCCCTACGCATGTGGTTATGTGCTTTTTGACATGACAGGGACCACCCGTGGGGACACAGCTGGGGAGCTTCCTCTTCAGACTTCCTTTTGCGTGCTACCTATTCAGTCGATGTGTCTCCCCACAGAGAAAATGATTGTCTCCAGTCTGGATATAGGAAAAGGTCATCATAGGTACAATCTGAGATTTTTCTGGTCTCTCTGACAGACCTTAGGAGGTCATGGGACCGTCTTCCTGCCTGGCCCCCTAGCCTGCCCTAGGACACTGGTTACTCTGTAGACATTCCTAGTGGGATTCTCACAAAGCAGCTCAAGTTAGTTTCTTTGCTCTGTCAAAAACTGAGTGATCTTAAGAAAAAGGCAGAAGGGAGAAAAGGTAGGAAGGTGAACATGAGGACCTTTGTTCCTCTGGCATGTTATCCACGTGGTGTTTGTCTGCCCCATTACACAGCTGTGTTCCATTGAACAAGTGAGAGGTGACCTGGTGAGTATTGGGCAGGGGTCCCTGAGGCCTGGGTAGCATTCCCAGGATTCTCTTCTTGAGGGAAGACTTCCTTAATCCCTCCCTGGGGTGGCCTTCCCCTGGACACATGGAGACACTCATGTGGCCATCCTCTCTACCTTATGGGTGCTGTTGGCTCGGGTAAAAGACCCTCTGCTCCTCTCGTGTGCCCTCTTTGCCCTGCTGCAGAGCCTGCTGTCTCCTGTGGCGTTGGGATTTGGCACTGAGTACCTGGTTCGCTTTGAGGAGCAAGGCCTGGGGCTGCAGTGGAGCAATATCGGGAAGAGTCCCATGGAAGGGGATGATTTCAGTTTCCTGATGTCGGTGAAGATGATGCTCCTTGATGCTGCTCTCTATGGCCTGCTTGCCTGGTACCTTGACCAGGTGTTTCCAGGTAAGGCTCAATCTCCATAAGGTAAAGACAAATGGGTTCTTCAGATCTGCAGCCCTCTACTTTCATCTAGGTTTAATCTCATCCTTTCTAAATTCTTTCAATCTGAGTTGACTCTCAGAACCAGCATCTGATACTTGATCCAGGAGCAGTGAATGCTGTTGGCTCCACTTTAGAAACAGATCCAGAATTTGATCTGTCATCACCTCTACCACTACTTCCCCAGTCCAAGCTTCCTTCCACCATCATTTCCTACCAGTCTGTTCTCCACATTAGATTCAGAGGATCCTTTACAGAATCTAGGTCAGATGGTGTCAGCCTACTGTTCAAATCCCTCCAGTAATTTGTTCAGAGTAAAATCCAACGTCCTAAACCCAATCTACAAGATGCTTCATTATCAGCCTCCAACTGTCTTCCCCATCTCATGTCCTTCCTTCTCCCACATGTCTCTCTGCTCCAACCATACCAGTCTCCTACTGACTGCTCTTCAGTGCGCAGAGTACATTTCCTCCACGGGACCTTTGCACCTGCTGTTCTCACTGCCCAGAGCATGTTCTACACCCTTCCCTACATCTGCAGGCTTGCTTCCTTACTTCGTTCAGGCCTTCATATGCCACCTTGTCACTGGGATCTTTCCAGACTGAAAATATCTACATACCTATCCCTATATAAATAACATTCCTTCAGTGCTCCTGTTCCCTGATACTACTTAATTTTTCAGTCATCACCATCTGACATGACATGTATCTGTATGTGTTTATTAACTCTCTACTCTTAGTAGAATATGGGCCCATGAGAGGATACCCACAGGCTGTTTTGTTCTGTGCTAGTCTTGGTGCCCAGAAAAATGCCTCACTTTTGGTGGACACTAAGTAAATACCTTATTCATCTGAAGGTGGAAAATCAACTCTTAAAACAAAATTGGCTGTTTGTACAATTTTGTGTTTGCTTTGTAGAAATTAATTTTCCTTCAAATAAGTGTTTCCTGGTAGCTAGAGAAATCCCTCCTCCACCTGAGTCATCTCTAAGTTGACCAACAGCCACCCTGTGCTGTGGCCGGAGCAGGTAAGGGCAAGGAATGCTGGGCCTGGTCCCTGGAGAGAAACAACTCAGATCGTCTTGGAGCAGCCTTTGTTGGCAGGAATCCATGGACAGCAATCCTGGAATAAGAGACAGATCACCAGGCTGGGTTAGGAGGCCTGGGTTTGGATCCCAGCTGTGGGACTAGATTAGATTCCTGGGGCTGCCAGAGCAACGCACCACAAGCTGAGTGGCCTTAAACAACAAAAGTTTATTTGTTTTAACAAAAGTTAAAAGTTTACAGTTCTGGAGGCTAGAAACCCCAAATCAAGGTGTTGGCAGGGCCATGTTCCCTCTGAAACCTGTAGGAGAGCGATCCTTCCTTGCCCTTTCCTAGTTTCTGGTGGTTTTGAGCAATCTTTGGCATTGCTCAGATTACAGATGCATCACTCCAGGGCTCCGTGTTCACATGGCATCCTCCCTGGGAGTGTCTGCGCTCCCAGGGCCATCTTCTTACAAGGATGCCAGTCATATTGGATTAGGGGCCCACTCTACTCCAGGGGGACTTCATCTCAGTTTAATCATATCAGCAATGACTCTATTTCCAAGCAAGGCCACATTCTGAAGCACCAGGGATTAAGACTCGGGGTCTTTTAATTTTTCTGATACCAAGTGTGTTGCTTTTTTGCAAATTGAGTGATTCTCTGACATTTACTGGCATCCAACAACTGAATTTCATTCTGACAGTAACTACCCAGAATTAGCACAGACCCTAGGCTTGGGCCCACAAGGCTGCTGCCCCTTCAGATGTCAGATGCAAATACAGCGAACAGCCTACTCACACTTTTGCCAACTGTTCTCAGCATCCCTGCGCAGGTTCAGCAATTCCCTAGAACAACCCACAGAACTCAGGAAAGTGGTCCCCTTACAATTACAGCTTTATGATAAAGAGTACAATTCGGAAACAGCCAAATGGAAGAGATGCATGGGTGAAGTACAGGAGGAGCTTCCATACCCTCTCCAGGTGCATCAGCCTCCTGGCATCTTGATGCGAGCTTCCAACATGGAGGCTCCCTGAATCTAATTGTTTGACAGTTTTGTAACCCAGTATCCAGCCCCCTCCCCTCCCTGGAGTACAGGGTGGTGGGGCTGAAAGTTGCCATCCTCTTTTCACCTGTTTAGTCTTTCTGGTGCACAGTCCCCATCTTGAACTTATCTAGGGGCCCCACCCTGAGACCACTTCATTAGCATAAACTCAGGTGTGGTTGAGAAAGGGGCTCATTAGGATTAACAAAAGACATTCCTATCACTCTGGAAATTCCAAGGGTTTAGGAGCTCTGTGATAGGAACTGGAGACAAAGATCAAGCACTATTTTGTATTCAGACCTCAGACCTCAACATATCCTTTTTTGAGGTGTGGGGGAACACAATTCAACCCAAAATGGTGACTTTGAGCAACACATTTGAACTTGCTCAGCCTCAGATTTTCTGTCTCACTGGGCCATTAGAAGGGAATAGAATAGAATAAGTGAAAATAAGTTGGATTGAAATTGAAATTTGTGCATAATTCAAGAGCTTTATTTTAACCAAACTGAAGTTTTAATATGTTCAACAACTGTTTGCTGAGCAGTGCCTATATGTTAGGCTCAGCACCAGTTTCTGGGAAAAGAAGGATACAAAAAACAGCCCCAGGTTTGCCCTTGAGGTGCGTACAGTATAGCAGTAGCCATGAAACACGGGATAACTATTAAATAAACAAAAACTGTTCTAACAAAATCAACATCGTATCGGGAGCAATGCCTGCTAAGAGAACTGGACTAGAAATTTGGGAATCTTTTTCTTGAAACCCAAATGGGTCCAGTAGAATGAGGTGGTTAAGATCAGTGGTATCAGAACCAGATAGCCCCCAACTTCATGTCTATTTAATTAGCTGTGACCTTGGGCAGATGATTCAAATCTGGTGTGCCTCAGTTTCCTTATCCACAAGAATACTAATACTACCTATCTTTCAGGGTTGTTTTGAGGATTAAATTATGTAGCACATGGAAAACTCTTACAGTAATGCCTGACACATGGCACCCAACAAAGGCTAGTGATTAATAATCATCATTATCTAGTAACTGTTGGAAAAGAGCATGATTAAATTCTTCAATAAAATGTTTTCTCAGAAAACTAGTGTGAACCAAAATCACCAGTCTTAGTGTTGCTGGTTTCATCCAAAACACAGGAACTTGAATTAAAACATGTTGGAAGGAATTGTCTCCGTGGTGGTCCATGGATAGCTGTATATGCTTATACAAGAGCTAGGAATATCTGTTTAATTTGAGATTCAGTTAGATGAATTCTAAATCTTATAAAATTGTGGTAAGGCAGGACTGCTTAGACTTTTTCCGTTTACTTACCTGTCTATTTCTAGGGGACTATGGCACCCCACTTCCTTGGTACTTTCTTCTACAAGAGTCCTATTGGCTTGGTGGTGAAGGTGAGTAAAAACACAAAACACCCTTAATGTTTGAAACCTGCTCCTCCTTTGGCTATGTGTGGCTATGTGTGAGTTGCAGAGGTGGCTCTTAGCAAAGTGTGTGATTCCTGATTAGTCAGCTACCTCTTGGAGGCTCTGCCACCACAGTGGGGCGTCACAGCCTCTGGGAACTCACCTTTTGGGAATTGGTGGGCAAGGGTAAGTGGCTGATATTGATAAGCCCCTGTGCCCTGTATGCATGTGTCCAGTGGATTAAAGCACCTGAGTAAAAGAAGGCCAGACCACTTCAGGGGGGAAATGACTTTTGCAGCTTCTCAGTTTAAAGCAAAGAGATCCACACAATCATGAAGGAACCTTTGCATTCATCTTCTGCTGCCTCCCCTCCTGCTTTTTTAATCCTTTCCACCTTCTCAAAATGTAAGTTAATTTGTTCTCCCAAGGTGAGAGCCCATCCGGAAGTTGCGGCACAGCTGTGATCTCTAAGGCAAACATTCCCAGGCTCTCCTAGTATTGATCTTTCTTGTGCTTGGGCACTGGGCTGAAAGGGCATTTGCCCAGAATGCATCTTAAATAGAATGTGCCTTTGCTACTGAACAGGACAGGAGGCTAAGGGAGAATCCTAGAATGGGAATAGGGGGACCACAGGCTCTTCAGAGAGGTAAGAGAAGGCAGAGAAATTCCTGACCGAAGAGTTGGGGACTCCCCTGGAACTAGGAGGTTCGGGAGCAAGGAAATACTTTCCAATCTGGTTGTTCCTCACCTCCCTGCTCTTTCCTTTGTATTATGGGGCCTGGGCCAGGATTCATCTTTTAAACACAAAAATAGATGTTTGTTTTCTCTAGGAGATTAACCTAGGGCCTTCACAAGATGTGGGTGGGTTTTTTGGTTTGTTTGTTTTTTAGTGTTCAAATAAACAGCACTTAGACACCTCAGTATTTTTCCATTATGTTGGTTTGTCTGTTTTGTCTATAAATTTTAAATTTCTACTATAATGAAGTTATAATCCATCATAAATGGGATTTCAACACAGGAAGATATTCCTGGAATATTTCTAATCTCAATAGATATCAGGACATATGGGCATTTTTTTTCTCTACAGCATCAGCTGATACTCTGCCTCTCAGAAAGTAAATAAATCTTAAGACAAACGTGCTCCTTCAAAAATGAATCACATATATTTTTGCCGAGACAAGCCAAATATTTCTCACCTGTCTCACAGGCTAGACAGAAACCGATTCCTACTTTTCTCAAAAATCAGAAAATAGCTGAGGTCCTCCACCTAATCCCTTCCTCTCACAGATGAAGAAATAGAGCCCAGCTGACATCCAGTGTCTCGCCCAAGTTCCCGTTGGCCACTTGGGACAAAATCTGGGACTGGGACACACATTTCCTGGCAAGAAACTCACTCCAGTGACTAAACTATATAAAAGTCTGTTTCCTCCTGCTAGAGGATTACACATCGGTGCCAAATGACAGCTAGTAGAGTGACCAAAGGCAGGTGAGCAGTTGAGGGGAAAACTCTTCTGGAAGCAGAAATGGAAGTACTGGAGGTGGCGGGTCCCTGGCCACCAACCCCATGCCTCGCCACTCCACCGCACATCCTGCATACCTGCAGAGGGCGGTGGGGACAGAGGGAGGCCCCGGTCGGCTGCTGTGTTAGAAAAGTCACCCTACTTATGTGCTCTTGAGGCTGGAGCCCTTAAATGCTTGATGACAGCAGGCTCCCCCTCCTGCCTCTGCTTTCCTCTCTGTTTGGCTCACTCTTCTGCTTCTCTTCCCCTTCCAGGATGTCCTGATGTCCTTTTAAACCAAATGCCAAGTTTACAAAAAAATGCCTCAGGGTGGGGGTGGGGGTGGGGGTAGTGTGAGAGAGTATGTGTGAGTGTGAGCATGTGTGAGTGACTGTGAGCATGTGTGTCTGGTGTGTGTGAGCGTAGGCGTGAGTGTGAGAAGGGGTTTGTGTGTGTTTCCACCACACTTCACAGTTTGCGCAAGCCTGTACTTCACCCCAGCTCAACTCTGGTGTTAATCCCAAACACTTGAACGCCCATAAAAATGGATTTCTCGGGTCAACTATTTCTCAGTCTGTAATTTAAGCTAGCTGCCCATCATAACACTGTGAACAGACTTTTGCTCAAGGTTCACCATGACTTTGATATCATTTAGATTGGAGTGAGAAGTACTGTTGGTAGCTAAAGAAAATTAATGCAATTCAAATTCAATCCTGGTTAGGCTAAATTTATTTTTAATCATGATTTCTGACACTGTGGTCCCCTCCTGGCATGTTAAGAGGATGAGGTGAAATGCCTACTACAAAACTCCCTCTGGACTCAGCAAAGGCGGCATAACCCGGCCAGCCAGTGGCCCCTTTACAGACCACAGGTCAGAGGCTGGCAGAGCCCTGCTCAGGGCTGGGCCCTGGGAATGCTGACTGGGCCCTCTGAGGAGGCTGTTTCAGCTCTGTTGGGAAACTCTACTCCCCCCTCTTTTCCCTTCTTTTCCTGACTTTTCTGATTCTCAGCTTCCACCAGGAGAGTAATAATGGCTTCTGATTGGTGCAGGGTGTTCAACCAGAGAAGAACGAGCCCTGGAAAGGACTGAACCCATAACAGAGGAAATGGAGGACCCGGAGCACCCAGAAGGAATGAATGGTAAGGAGCTCAATAGAGAGTGCAGAGCAGAACCCCTCCTGACCAGGGAGACATGAGACCCAGGAAGCTGGCTCTGTTGACAGGGGTTAAACCTGATAGCTTCCTGAGGATCCAGCTGCACATGTGTGGAATGAATGGTCCAGCCAGACATTATCGCATATTTCCTGGAGAAGGCAGATCCCAAGTATGTGATGTGTGTGTGTGTCCTTCTTAGGCAGATCCCAAGTGAGTTGCACAAATGTGCTGACTTCCGAGGATTTAGCAAGAACAATAACTTGGGTCACTGGGACTTAAAGCGGATATGAGCTATAAGGAAAAGACAAAAATAAATGCTTCTGTGCAAGGGGGGAAAAGAGTCTAGTGGAGATGATGCATCTCACTGTGGTTTATAAACCTAGAAGCCCATTCATTCAACCATCAAAAGCCTTTTCTGACTGTGGAAGTTACCTAATAATTCCTGAATGATAAATGAGGTTTGCAAGTGTTTCCCTGGCCTTTGCCTCCCCTATCTTCCCTTTTGAATCAGCTCTGTACTTCTCCCCATGTTCTCCATTCCCTAGGCACATGCATTTCTCCGTGGATTCTGAAATGCTCCTGATATTCTCACCTTGGGTTTAGAAAGGTAGCAAGGACTCTTGACTTTGTATGAGAGGATCTGGCCTCCATGCCTCTGGCCCACCCCAGTACCACTTCCCAAAGCTGAAGTCAGTGGCCTGTGGGTCCTCAGAGAGCTAGCGTACAGTCAACAGTGCCTCTGAGAAGACCTTCCTCCCGGAGAGGAATTCCAAGGCCAAAATCAGTGGTGGTTCCCATCTTGGTTATAGGCAAGACCAGAAGACACAGACAGAAGAAGCACTGGGAGTATTTTTGCAGGGGTATAAAGGCTCAGAACTACGGTATTAAGATAAACTAAGTAGTTCTGTATAGGGAACTAAAGCTGAGAGAGACTGGAGGTCAAGGAGAAGGGGACACCACAGTCTTGAGGGGCTGCCCTGAAAGTGGGTATACAGTAGAAGTGGAGGGGCAGAGTTTGAGGGACAATGATGAGGTGCAGGGTGTTCAACCAGAGAAGCTGGAGCCCTACCCAGCTAATTGAGAAACCCTGAAATTCTGAGGAGCAAGAAATCAGCTTTAGTCAAAGTTGACTCCAAGATTTGAGCCAAGGTAACTAGGAGAATGGTGGTTTCAGGAAGGGACATGGGAGAGTCTAAGGAGAATGTTCTGGGAAGAAAATGAGATGTTGCTAGCAGAAATCTATGTGGAAATGCCCCGAAGACCATTCACAGTGAGAACCTGGGACTGAAGACTGAGATAAAGGCTAACTCTCCAAAGAGGCAGTGAGCACACTCTGGGTTCAAACCCCAGCTCTGCCATTCATGGGCTGTGTGGCTTTGGCTGGATACTTGATGACTCTGTGTGTCTTAGTTTCCTCATCTGTAACAATGAGCATGATAACATCTATCACTACAGAGCTGATAAAAGGGTGAAATGAGGTCTTCCATACAAAGCACTTGAAATAATGTCTCATACACAGTAATATCTCTATAAATGTTAGATACTGTTGTTACAATTAATATTCTGCAGTCATCCTAATCAAGGTCACAGCTAAAGCCATGGGGGGAGAAGACAATGGTCTGAAGACAGACCCTTTGGGAGTAAGTACATGAAGGTGTTATATTTATATCGTGTTCATTTTTTTCCTCCAAGACTCCTTCTTCGAACATGAGCTTCCAGGCTTGGTCCCTGGGGTATGTGTAAAGAATCTGGTAAAGATCTTTGAACCTTATAGTAGGCCGGCTGTAGACCGTCTTAACATTAGCTTCTACGAGAACCAGATCACCGCATTGCTGGGCCACAATGGAGCAGGGAAAACCACCACCTTGTGAGTCTCCAGGCAAAGAGGCTGTGTTGCCATCCTGTCATTTGCTAGCTCTGTTCTGCCCCCATCAGCTGCAGTCTATGCCTCCCTACTGAATTTTAGTGACAAAAGTGTGCTCTGTATTTGTGTTCCAAGAATATGTAAAGAACGCTGATCCATTAAGTTTCCTCGCATATATTGTTTTATTTGATCCTTACAAGAAGTTGGAGAGGGAGGTTGAGGAAGCTCGTTGTCCCTTTTGTGTGCTGGGAAAGTGGACATCCAAAGAGTTGAAGTGATTTTCCCGAGGTCCCCAAGTTGTAGTGGTTCAGTAGGGGCAAGAGCCAGGTCCTCCAACAATTGTGTCTTGTCTCTGACACTGTGAGCCTGTTTCCCCATCCCCAACATCTCCAGTATTACTATTACTGATGGTGGTGAAAAGTAATGACCATCAGCAACACATGCCTTCAGGTCTGTGAAGTACTTTTAATTTTCAGAGTATTGCTTTTCCTGCCATGAGGGTTGGTTGTAGTTCTGGAGAAAGTAAGAGGGTGCAGAGGGCCGGTGGGGGTAACTGCCCACTACAAAGCTTGGCCTAAGAGCAGGGAAGATGAAGGCTTTGCATGGAAATTTCAGCTCAGGAAGCTGCCCTCCCCTTTCTAAGAGACCTGAGCGCCATCTGCTGAGCAGGAGAACACAGCCAGCTAAGGTTTCCCAAGGAGCGTCAGCGGCGGCCCTCTCTAGGGGCAGGGAACCCACGTGATACACAGTCTTTTGCTCCTAACAGAGCCCCAGGAAGGAACGGCAGTGCACGCCCTGCCTCGGAATGTGCTCTGAGGGCGGGGCAGTGTAAATGGAATGTGGGGCTGGTGCCATTATATTTGGTTCTGTTTCCCTCTAGTGGCTGATCTACAGAGATTTCAGTTTCTAAGTACAAGTTCAGAAAGCCTGAGATAGTATCTGAACTCACGGGCAGAGCAGGGTGGAGTAGCTAGATCTACCTGATTTCTCTCCTTATTAACTAATATGGTCAGAGAGCCCCAAGCTCCTGGACCCCAGAGCTTCCCAAAGGCAAACACATTACTTCATCAGCTGCTGAAATGCAACTTCCCTTGGGATTTGAAACACAATGTTTAATAAAAATAATACTAATATTTTTTAGTTTTACTTTATGCTGGCACTGTTCTAAGTGCCTTTCAGGTATTAACTCACTTAATCCTCACAACAACCACATAACATGGGCAGCATCATTTCTCATTTTCCAAAAAAGGCCAGCATTGCTATCGGGCTTTTTCTGTTTTGGATCCAAAGATGAAATAGTTGGTGGTAACTCCCAGGCCTGGCTTCAATTAATCAACAAATACATACTGAATGCCTAGGCTTCCTATTCAGATCCTTCCCCTATGCTTTGTAATGGTGACATCAGGCAAAGTGTGGACCCACACTCAGAGCACCTTTGTAGTCCCTGCAGGGCCAGAAGCTGTGACTGCTGGGCTGGGAGGGACCTTCGGCTGTAAGGAATGCTCTGCGGCCAGGGGTCCTGGGGGCCATCAGTGCCTGCCTGGGACACCAAGAAACTGGTCCAAGGGCAGTCATCAGCATTAGGGCCTGGCTGTACACACGGCTGCTAAGCCCCTTACGGGAAACTGCTGGGCTCCACAGCTAATGATAGTTTCAGATCAATTGCGAGGCAGAGGCAAGAATCACTGTAAGAGTCCTCACTGACCCTGGTGGGGGCTGCCACCACAAAGCGCTCCTCAAGCCATCTTTTCTGCCCCTGACGTCTGTGTCTGGCAGGTCTGTCCTGACGGGTCTGCTGCCCCCTACATCAGGGACAGTGCTCATTGGGGGAAAGGACATTGAGACCAGCCTGAATGCAGTCCGGCAGAGCCTCGGCATGTGCCCACAGCACAACATACTGTTCCATCAGTAAGTAGAGTAGGAACTGAGACCCTCCCCCTGCCTTATCCTCACCCTGTCCTCAACACACATGTCCGCTGGAGCCCAGCTCAGGGATGCCAACGTTGGGGTCAGGAGGCCATACTCTGGTTTAGTTCACCCATGTTTGAGGTACTTTGCTCTGCTTGCAATGAGAAGTGTCCCTCAGAACATGGGGCTGTGCCTCTGGCACTCAGAGCTGAGGCCTCTCCTCTTGGAGGTGCGATGCCCCCTCGCTGCCAGGCGGGCCACGTTGGGGCCTGTTGCTCAGTCCTGAGGTACTCCCTCTCAGGGACCAAGGGAGGGGACCATTGTTTCTTCTTCCCTCCTAAGCCAGACACTAAAAACTGACTTTTCAGTTGCTTTTATGTCTAACCTAAAAAAGTTATATATGGTCATTGAACAAAGGAAGAAAGGAAATACAGACTAAAATAAGAAAATAAGTTACCTGTAATTTTACCACCCAGAAATAACCACTGTTAAACACCTTGGTGTACAATTTTTCAGAACTTTCTCCTATGCATGTATAGATACACAAATATACTTTAAAATTATAAAGGAAAGAAGAACCCTGCTAACAATTATGTCACCTGCCACTTTTAAAAAATGTGATTTCTTTAACCCAAGATAATAATGAACGTCTTTTCATGTCATTACATGTTCTTTTATAAAATAATTTTTAATGTTTACATACTCTCCCATTGTATAAATGTACTATTTAAGCTGTTCCCTCTTATTAGATATTTTATCAGGGTCTGTTTTTTGTTCTGTGTTTGTATTATAAAAAGAAGTACAACGAACACCTTTATTTGCTAAAACTTTGTGCTCGTGCTGATTATTTCTCTGAGGTAAATTGCCAGAGGTGGGATTGCTGAGCAGTTGCCCTTCTCGTTGCCCACCCCATAGCCTCACAGTGGCTGAGCACATCCTGTTCTATGCTCAGCTGAAAGGCAAGTCCTGGGAGGAGGCTCGGCTGCAGATGGAAGCTGTGTTGGAGGACACAGGCCTCCACCACAAGAGGAACGAAGAAGCTCAGGATCTATCAGGTGCTTGTTATCAGAAAAAGATAGGGCTCCAGGTGGCAAATCCACTGTTTCCCAGCGTACGGGGCAGTCGCAGAGGGGAAGCCTTATGACAGACCTCCTAAGAGTTGGAACATGTCTATAAAGTTATTTTGAACATCTAAGAACAACCCACCTCTGGATCATTCCCACATGGGGCCTTATCTTGCGGTAGCCTGGGCTGTATTTGTTCTGATGTTTACGTGTTTGAACTAAAAATGTGAGAACGGCCTTTAGACAGTCTGGTCCTAGGAGGCAGGAATTGCCTTTTATGCATTTAAAGAGGCCTGTACGTCATTAGGGTTTGAATATTGTGTAAACATCTAAGGAGGCAGCATCAAACCCCTGCAGGACTTAAGGTAACCCCGTTATGCCACCGGCCCTGGGATTTCTCTTCCTGTCCTCGACAGCCCTGTGACCCCTCTGCCTTGTTCTCTAGGTGGCATGCAGAGAAAGTTGTCTGTCGCCATTGCCTTTGTGGGAGATGCTAAGGTGGTTGTTCTGGATGAGCCCACCTCTGGGGTGGACCCCTACTCGAGACGCTCAATCTGGGACATGCTCCTAAAGTATCGCTCAGGTAATGGCTATTGTTCAATGCCCTGTGCTCTCACTGCGGTTCTATCTATGGGCCTCACTCTCTCACACCTGCCGTTTTGCAGCTGAGTATAGTAACAGCATAACTACACTTGGGTGGAACTCGATCACTGACTTGGATGAACCTAAGTTCCAGTGGAAACCTCCTGAGATTTTTAAACAAATATAAGCAGGGAGTCACTGATTGAGCAGCCTATTTCCCAAAATATTCTAGAAAATTCTCCTGACCAGAAGCTCTTCTGTCTGAAACAATAGATGCAACCCTAGGTGAAATTTCCCTTTGACATAGGGGCCCCAAGCCCCCAGCAAATATTCCCAGAAACTCTATAGCTATTGGGTGACCACTCAGAACCAGATGTGAGGGCAACATGCAGGTATTCATGCTCCAGAGAGCTGCTGCAGGTAGAAATGTCTCAAAATGAGATGCAGTCCCTCCTCTGTCACAATCAGAGGGTGCAGATCCAGGAGAGAAAGCAGCAGACCCTGGGGTGCCCTTCTGTGGAATCAACAGCCCAGTTCAGTCCTGTGGCCAACTTGCTGTCCTGGAATCCTCATCACCATTTTTTTGTAATGATATATCCAGTTACTTTTAAAATGGGTGTGTGTGTATGTGTGTGAGCATGTGTGTGTCCTTTGCAAAAACAGTAGCTGGAGTGCTTCATGGTCCAGAGAATATAGAACTCAATGGAGGCTGACTGACAATAATAAGTATATCCTACGTATGTCCCATATGTGGTGGTCTATCTGAATCAGGTCCAATGCTTGACAAAGAGATGCTGAGTGTGACAGTGCTTTTACAGTGTGCAGGCTACTGTTAACTATCATCATTATGTTGTCCCATCAGATGTTGTCCCACGATTCTAGTGTTCTGGACTTTTACAGACTACTTGTTCTATTAACTCCCAGTGGTTTTGTCTGTGTAATGGGGAGGCAGGGGAGTATGTCCTCTGACAAATGACTCCCCTGACCTCTGCCCTGCAGGCAGAACCATCATCATGTCGACTCACCACATGGATGAGGCTGACCTCCTTGGGGACCGCATCGCCATCATTTCCCAGGGACGGCTCTACTGCTCGGGCACCCCGCTCTTCCTGAAGAACTGCTTTGGCACGGGCTTCTACTTAAGGCTGGTGCGCAAGATGAAGGACATCCAGAGCCAAAGGAGAGGCTGTGAGGCAGGTGTCCGCCCAGGGCACGAGCCCATCCTGGTGGGAGGGGATGTGCAGTGTAGAGGGGCCTCTCTGGGAGTTCTTCCCAGATCAGGCTGTGGTGGTCAGAATCAACCTCTTTATTTATGGAGCCATTTGCAGATTTTGAGAAACTGACATTCTGAACCTTCCTACAAGGGGCTTTGCACCTAATGAACAACTGGTTTTAAATAACCTGAGATTATTATACTCCAGAATCCTAAACCACGCATGTGGTGTGGTACAACATAGAAGGGAGAGTCTCATTCTGTGACGTTACACTGTTGTAAGGGGAGTGGTTATTTAAGCTTCCTTTTTTCATTCCAAAGTTTTTGGTTCCTATTTAAACCTGAATTGCACTGGTAAATGAAAGCTAAGAGAAAGCTTCCATGGAAACTATAACCTGAACATGATGAAGCCAAAAAACACCAACCAGTAGAGACACCCTCAGCACATCAGGAGATCTGGATCAGGTCTCACAAAGCAGACAAACTGTCATTCTGGGCAAATTACTTAATTGTTGCTTTTTTTGCATCCAGAAAACGACACTGACAATCTCTGCTTTTGATTCGTAGGGAAGTGGCAAAAAATAAATGAGATAAAGTATCTTGAATGTGCTCTGGGTTCCTTGAGAACAAGCACTGCTCACATTCAAGTTGTCACACTCATTATTTCACAGTATTATTTATGCCTCCAACCCCTGTAGTTTAAGTGTCTGGCTGCCCTGGGGTTTCCTGCCTGGGTAGATTCCCAAGCCCAGCATGCATCCACAGGGAGGGAGGAGCAGAACTTCTTGTAGACCTGCCGCTGTCACATAAGTGATGACAAACTGAAGGGGTTCTTTGAGACTTGGCTATTCTTTGAGCTTGCCTCACACTCTCTGGGAGAAAATCAAATAGTCACACCTTCAAAAATGTTCAGATAAAGAAATAGATGCAAATGGTGCAGGAAAAATGTGTTGACCACACTTGTCAGTGAGGAACCAATGAGGTGTGGTGGTGACAGTGATCGGCAGCAGGGAGATGCTATCACTGACATGACGGGCATCTTTCTGTCATAGGGGACCTGCAGCTGCACCACTAACGGTTTCTCGGTGAGGTGTCCAGCCCATGTAGATGAGCTAATTCCAGAGCAAGTCTTGGATGGTAAGGACCAGGGCAGGCCCAGTCTCCATTCTTGTCTGGCGATCATCTTGGTATTGCTGGGTGTGTCCTGTTGGAGCCCATGTTAATGGGAGCAAGAGAACAAATGCTCTTGTGTACCAAGCCCGTGGTCCTGCCGTTGCTCATTTTTTTCTTTGAGCTTCTTTGTCCTCCAACATTCACAAAGGGATTTTGAAAGCCTAAAATCCTCCTCCCTTTAATGAGGAATCCAGTCTTCATTCACTCCTTGCCCGTGCTCACATTAGCCTCCATTCCTGGGCTCCTCCTGCCCTGGCTCTGGGCAGTGTTCCTTCCCCTCTGGAAAAAAGGCTCCCACAGGGGCCCAGGGCAGCCCTCTGGTGAGGCCACGGTGGCTCTCCGCTCTCTGAGGGAACTCTTCAAGTCAGACTGCATGGTGTGGATACCACGTCTGTGGAAGAGCGCACAGCCCTGTTACACTCCTAACTTTCCTCTCGGCCTCCCAGCTTTCCAACAGTTCTCCCGTGAATTCGGGTGCACTAAACCGCATCAGGGGCACCCCCGCCTCCACGGAGATGCTCTCATTGTAGTGCTCACCCCTTGGGATCTGACCTCAGGGACGTAGAGTGCTGCCATTCTCCAGTAAGACCTGCCTCCCATCCCACTACTGGGGTGTCCTTACATATGGAATACCATACACCCCAATCCCTAAGTAGGAGCAAAATTAAATCTACAGACCAACTCAGGTTAATGAAGGGGGGAAAGTATCTACTTATCAAAGAAAAAAAGTTTCCTATTGAGTACAATGTATTTCTAAATATGAGGAATTTACTAACTAAAATTTGGTAAAACAAGAAAAAGTAGACATTATTTACATACTATGCTTGAAATTTGTGGGAAAAAGCCAAGAATTGCTTCACAGTTATTCTCTCACCCTGTCTTTGCACTGACAGAACCTGTGGGGAACATGAACACATCCTTTTAGGATGACAGTTCTGTGTCTTTTTCCTCACCTGCCTTGCTGTGGATCGCTCCCTGTCTCTGGAAGTTTCCTCCCAAGAGAAATCTTGGTGAAGAAATTTATCATTTTAAAAATGAATGCAGTGGTGCACCGAAGTCAGCTTGGAAACAGGGTCTGTGGCTGGAGTGATATTTTTTATTACTTTATTTCTAAAAAATGTTTATTTTCTTTGAATAGAATAAGGATGCTGTGAGTGGTAGGGAGTACTGTGAGTAGTTATTCCCCAAACAAGAGAAGGAATCATTCCTAACCCCAGTTAGCTCCTGGGAAGGCTTTTTCCTCACACGCGCACCCACAGGCCTCCCTGTCAGATGCTGAAAACCCTGCTTACTTAAAGGACTACTTCTGGAGAGGCTGACACACACGTCCTCGACACAATTCCTGGGAATCCAGCAGCTTCAGGTTCGATTTCCTTCCTAAGAGAACAATGAACGTGACCCCTAGAGAGCTGTCAGGCGGGGCAGCTTCCTCCCCGAGGAGCCTTCCAGCCCTGGATGAAGTCCTCCCCGGGTAAAGACAATGAGCCCAACCCAGAGGTCTGACATAAAACAAGTCTTCCAGTCCAGCCAGGCAGAAGGATCGGGGTTGAAAGCCATGGAATCCCTCCATGTGAGTCACTTTTAAAACAAAGAAAGCAAAACCCACGGGGTGGTCCTGACTGAGGACTGTTGTGCAAAGGCGCATGCTGGGTTCTGAGTCCTGGGAATTTCTTTCCCTTTGAGCTTCCTCTCAAGATAGTGTGCTAGGGCACTGTCTCTTCAAATTGGACGTTTTAAGTTTTTTTTATTTTTAAAGTAACACACTTGTGTGCAAAATTCAATTCCAACAGTGTGAGGTAAGTACTTGATAGTGGACATGTGCCTCTTGCAGTGTACCCCACATACCACCATCACCCTCTCCCCTTGCCCGGTCTGTCTCCACAGTTTCTCAACCCCCTTCTGCATTCCTCGAGAGCTGGGTGTTTAGAGGCTTGTCTGTCTGTGTGTTTGTGGAGGTAGGTGAGATCCCAAGGGAAATGGCACAGTTCCTCCAAAGGTGGGCCAGGCATGGCTTTGTGACTCAGAAAGGGGAGTTCTCAGCCAGCGTGGCCACCAGGTCCCAGCAGCGACTCGGGCAATCCTCAGGTAGCTTGGGTCAGACCAGGAAAATGCAAGCAACTTTGGCTTAACCCTCAAAATTTTGGGGAGTAAGCATGAGCAACAGTGATGACAAGAGCTTACTCACCTGAGATGACGCTCACAACAATAGCAGCTAACGCTCACCTATGTTCCACACACATCATTCTAAGTGTTTTACGTATATTAACTCATCCAGTGATCACAAATAACAATACAGTGTTACACCAATGAAGAAACTAGGGTACGGCCTGCCTGATGTTACATAGCTCATAAGGGACAGAACATCCGATTGAACAAAGGAGGAAATGGCATGGGGATGTATACGACCTCCCCAAGGTCACACAGCCAGTCAGTGGGGAGCACTGTCGCTTGTACCTCTGTCTTCACTTCCCCCTCACTGTGTGTCACAAGGCCAACCAGATAAAAATGGGCACAGCACCGTGTCAGGCCTCCACAAGGGTCACTACCAAGAAACAAAATGTCCCTTCCTCAAGTGGATGGTGGGAGAAAGGACACCCGAGCAAGCTGGCAGTCTTCCGGTTCTGGAAAACAGAGTTGATATCAGTCACTTTTCTTGTCCTAGGGGATGTGAATGAGCTGATAGATATGGTTCACCACCATGTCCCTGAGGCAAAACTAGTGGAATGCATTGGTCAGGAACTTATCTTCCTTCTTCCAAATAAGAATTTCAAGCAGAGAGCATATGCCAGCCTTTTCAGAGAGCTGGAGGAGACGCTGGCTGACATGGGGCTCAGCAGTTTCGGAATTTCTGACACTCCCCTGGAAGAGGTAAGGCAGATTCCACTGGCTTGTCAGGTTCCAGAAGAGGCAGTTACTTGCAAAAGTCTACCACTGGAGGGAAGTTTTACAAAGGCAAAAAGTCATAATTCCCCACCAGGGCATAGCTACTATCTTCATTTTTTGCTTACTTCCTCCTGTCTTTGTTCAAATGCACACATATTTTATGCAGTTTTGGTCACTGTGTGCATATTCTTTTGTATTTCCAGAAGACTGTTACTTAGATAAAGAGTCATAATGTATTTTCTTCCCATTATGAAGCAATACCCAGCAAAATTGAGCTTGCTTTAATTTTTCTGAGAGTGGGAATGTCTACACCAAACCCTCTTTTTTTTCCTTCTTGACAGATTTTTCTGAAGGTCACGGGGGATTCTGACTCAGGAACTCTGTTTGCTGGTATGGTGCCAAGTGTGTAGCTTGTTTCCTCCCCACATCCCTAGGTTCTATCCTGAATGTCTAAGGAAAAAAACTCTTGAAACAACAAAGCAGGAAAATACTTCTCCAGGATATTTATCTGAACCCCAAATAACAGTCATTTTGTATTCTTGTCCTTTGCATGACAAAGAATGACAAATGGAATCAGGTCGAGGTGGGAAGTCTCTAAATGAGACAAGATTCTTCAGGAAGTCAGAGTGGGAGCTTCACCATCCCCAAGCTTCTCATCCCACCTCCCGGTCTGATTCCTGCCCCGTCACCATCCTCATGTCCCCCTCTTATCTCCACAGGCCTCTGACACACTCCCGTCTGCATGGGTGACAGCCTGCAGAGTCCTTAGGGGTAATAGTGACAGTAAATACAGTCCAGATACCAGCTGAATCTCCTGGCCCCTTTGAGATGGAGATAAAATTACTATGAGCCCTCTTTAGTACCCTGTGGAATTTTGAAACTGGGGAGACCATAATTCCTGTGGATTCTGGGTGGCTGCCTTCTGCCTGTGAAAGTCTGGGCAGTAACCAGCCCTTTCTGTGATCTCTACCAGAACACCAGGCCCCTCCCAGCATTCACGAGTGCACTAGACTCACTTGGAGGGCAAGGGTGGGGAGATGGCTATGCAGGAGGGGTTACTGCCACAGCACAGTCACTTCTGGTGGGACAAAAGGCATGAACATACACTGATCAAGTCCTCTTCCTGCTCCTCTCTCTCTCTCCCACTGGCTTTCCTCTCTCCTGCTCAAGGACAAAGCTGAGGAAGGAGCTCCAGCCATTGTCACTCCTTCTGCCTGGCATGGCATACCACAGCATTATCCTGTGCAAACACTGTTCCCTCCCTGTGGGCTTTTTGATGCCAGCTCTTAAGATACTATGGTCTTCATTTTGCTTCATAAGTGATCCCAGAAATTTGTTTATTTTATGCCTTGAACTACCAATGGTTAAATTTACCAACCCAAACATGCTCCATGCCCCAGATAGGTTGTTTGGTGGCCAGAAGAGGCAGCCGTCCTGACAGAGTAGGGAATGAAGGGTAGGCCTCTGGAGGGGTGGAGGCTGCCCACCACAGGGCCCAAATTTTCTTTCCAGCTTTACAGACACAGGAATTGAAGTCTGTCAGCTTACCTAAAGGCAACACCTTACATTAACCAAGACCAGAATGAAAATATGCTAATTTATATCAGAATCTACAGTGGATTCAGGAGTTGAAGACTTTTATCTGCCCAGAATACTCCTTAATAATTAGGTCCCTGCAGGAGAATAAATTACATTTCATAACATTGGTCAGCCTGGACATAGACTAGGATGTTCAAAACAAACAGTCAAGAGTAAAGGTTAAGAGTGTAGCCCCTGTAGTGAGGCAAGCCAAACACCAAAGCTGACCAAACAGCTGAGCTCTGTTAATTTGCTTTGTTTTTCTGCCTCTTTTGAAAAATAATTTTTTTTATATCAAGGCACATACAATAAAATATACAAATCTGAATGTACACTGAGCTCCATAATTTGCTAACGGAGTGACTATGGGTAAATAGCCTTTTTGTACCTCAATTTCCTTATCTGCAAAAATGGGGATAATAACAGTATCACCTTTTAAGGGTGTTGAAAGAATTAAATGAGGTAATACATGCCAAGTCTTAACACAGTATTCAACTTCTGATTAAGATTCAGCAACATCCTAATCCCAACATTTATAAATTATCTCTTACCTCAGACTTGTTTAGTCCTTTATACTTGACAAACTACTCAACATACAGTGTTTATCTGATGGTCACTAAAATCTCATGAGGCTGGTAGGGCAAGGACTGACCCTATCTGTGGGAAACAGCTCACACAGGTTGGATGACTTGACTTAAATCACACGGATTTCTGACTTTTCTTCCCTGGTCTTAGCTCTAAAATCTAGGATCCTTGACTCCATAATCTCACAACCTCTGTTTTTCAAATGACTAAATTCATTTGTTTTAAATTATCTCAGTTTTAGAGCAGAACATTTTCTGATCTTGTCTCCTAAGTCTGCAGGAACCTATAGATGTCCTTTGGGGTCACAAATTGCAAGCTACCAAGAGGGTCAATGCCACCTCTGAAGGGAGGGGCTCACAACCAGTGATCACTAACAGGCAGCAGAAAGTCAGGGGCTCACCAACTATGCTGCACCGGCCGAAGCCCTCAGCTCTGGCCAGGATAGCGGGCTCCAGTCTGGGTGCGGCAACAGGGACAGAGCTAGTATTGTAAGATAGACTTGAGGAGAGGCAGAGATCATATCTGAGGGAGGGGCAGCTACAGCAGACATCAAACTGAGACCAGATCTGGATAAAGGAAGCAGGTGGGACTCTGGCACTGTGTAGTGCCTGCAGAAGTTGTCCACCCTCTGAGCAGCCCAGCCTGCTGCACTGCCCCCGACCATTAGCTGAAGGGTGGCTGGGCTGACCCACCTCCCTTCGCAGCTGCCTTTGTCCTGCAGGACTTTGGAAGGATTAAGAAAGCAACTAGGGACCAACCAGCAGTCCCGGTCCGTAGGCTCTCCCTTTATGTCCGACATCTTCTGCAAATGAATATTAATCAGTGATGATAAACGATAGCTGCGACATAACTGATGACTTAGGAAGGTTTATAAAGCACCCTCATGTGTGTTAGCTCATCTAATCTTAACAACCCTGTGAAATGTTCTCATTTTTATCTGACAGATAAGAAAATGCAGGTTCAGACAGGTGGAGTCACTTAACCAGATTTATGCGTCTAGTAAGAGTCAGGATTCAAAAGCAGATCTCCTGACTCCTTGCTCACTTGTCTTCCGACCCCTTCTCAGTGGCCTCTAAGAATTTAGAAAGAACCGAGTAAACTAACTGTCTTACTTTTTCTAGGTACACAGGCTTATACATGAAAATATTGTTAAATAATTCAAATAATACAAAAAAAGGCTAAAGTCATTCCCCCTTCATCCCCTGCCCCTTACCCAGCTCTGCCCCTGCCGAGCAACACCCTTCAGTGGTTGGTGGGTGGCGGGTGTTCCTCCAGAGCTTTGCGGTTACCTGTGTGTGTGTACATATAAAATACGTTTATTTGTGTGTGATACACATGCTCTCTAACATGATCCTATTACACATACCACTGTGCAACTACCCTCCCCGCTTTTTTTTTTAACTTTTAGGTATATGTTTGAGATCTTTCTGTCGTTGCATTTAGATCTTGTTCTCTTAGAGACTTGTTATGCGATGTCAGACAATTCTGTCTATAGAAGATTTACAACGGAAGATAGGACGTTTTAAAGTTTTATTAACCTACCTGGGCTTAATATGCTATTGGTGATTTAAATAAAGGGAAAACCAGTGCAGTGAGGAAAAAAAAAAGGCATATGAGATCCATATTTTGTGAGTGTTCTGAATTAGTAATTCCATGTTCCAAACCAGGTGGCACTCAGCAGAACAAAGACAACGTCAGCCTCCGACACTCCTGTTTGGGTCCTCGGGAGAAGGCCAGCGAGCACCCCCGGGGCTCCGCCAGGGAGCCGGCCGCTCACCAGGAGGGCCAGCCCTCCCCACACGGGCGCGGCCAGCGGCTCCACACGGGCGCGCGGCTCCTCGTCCAGCACGTGCAGGCGCTGCTGGTGAAGCGCTTCCACCACACCGCCCGCAGCCGCAAGGACTTCCTGGCCCAGGTACTTCCGCCGGCCTCTGGCGGGGCTCGGGCGCTAGTCCCCAGCCTGCTGGCCCCGCTCCGGCCTCTCTACCTCTCCCAGGCTTTCTCGCGCGGGGCGAGCACAGTGAGCTGAAACGCAGCAGAGAGCACCCGCTTTCAGTTCTGTCCGCTTTGGTTCCTCCTTGCCACACTTAATTTTGATTCTCAGGAACACAAAGCTTCTTTGTAAGTATTAGCAGAGAAAATAGAATAATAGTGAATATGTTAATATTGTTTTTATGTTTACATGAAGGGTAAAGTCATGTTTTCAATGACTTTCATTCATTTTTGCAATGACCCTTTCCGTCAAGGTCACTGTCCTCTTCTTTTCCTTTGATGTTTTTTATTCAGAAGCAGAAATTCTGGCTCACTTCTGGCTGAACATGGACCTACTTCAATGTTCAGTGTTGGCCTACTTCAACCATTCTTCAGTGTTACCAAAACATTCTGTTTTCTCCTGAACATCCTCCTTTACACACCCTCCCTGTGATGTTTCCCAGACACCTCACTCCACCAGGGTCCCTTCATGAGGCTGCAGGATAAAAGAATGTGTGTGTGTGTGTGTGTGTGTGTGTGTCCTTAACACACCATTTGCAACAGCCTATATTGCCTGTTCATTTTCCCACAGATTGTGCTTCCAGCCACTTTTGTGTTTTGGGCTCTGATGCTTTCCATCATCATCCCTCCATTTGGTGAATATCCCGCCTTGACCCTTCACCCCTGGATATATGGGCAGCAGTACACCTTCTTCAGGTCTGTAGACTCCTCCCCATAGGTCATCATTCACCTCCATGGGTGGTGGGGCTCCTGGGTCACATGCCGCTGGGTGGGGTCCTGGCCTTCCCACTCTGTGGGACAGTCACCAGAGGTAGAGTTCCTGGAGCTGCCCTCCAGAAGAAAGTTAATGTACCTGCCATTTGGGAAAGGTGATCCCAGGGTACAACCAGGACCACCAGGAATAAGGAAAGAGAAGGGAAAGGGTTGAAACTCCAACTCTTGATGCACAGACATGATATGCTGTCAGATCACTCTCAGACGTCATGTCTGAGTCGCCTGCCTTCTTCCCAGGAGGCCTGTAACCATCCCAAGGCAGTATTCTGTGCCTTGTGTACATGTCTGGCATGGGATAGCCATTCAGTAACGCGTGTTGAGTTTCATGTTGGCTGCTCTACCCTCCATCCCAGTTGTGTCCATATCATAAGCCCCCCTCTCTCTGTCTAGCATGGACCAGCCAGGCAGTGAGCAGCTCGCGGCACTTGCAGATGTCCTCCTGAACAAGCCTGGCTTTGGCAACCGCTGCCTGAAGGAAGAGTGGCTTCTGTAAGTCCCTGCATACCCCTGCCGTAACACCAACTGCTGCTCCAGAAGAGCCTGATGGTGGGGTCCTGGGACGGCCGGGCTGGCCGAGGACCCCATCTCCATCCTGCTCTGAGTTACACAGTCAGCCCTCTCCCTGACCAGCACTCCCCCAGCCTCTCCTGCAGCACCTGAGTGCAAGGGTGCTCAGACCTCTCAGGAGGCCCGGGCCTCACTGGACAGCTCTGTATTTCTATAGTTTTTAGTACAGAAAGTTCCATACTGCATTGACATATGCTTCCCACAACTTATTTGAAAGGAATCTGAACAGGAGAAGGAGGGAGGTGAGGAATGTATTTTTGTGTATTTGGACCTAGAATGGCACTCATCACATATGGCCAACTTCCAATTGTTGCTTTAAGTATAGAAAAGGGAACTAGAGAGGGCAGGTAAAATCCACCAAGAATCCTAAACTTCAGTATAATTTTAACTGCTTCTCTCATCCAGTCTCTTCCAGAGCCATTGACAAGTACCAAAATAGGCTAATTTCAATTTTCTCTTTTATTTGTTCTGTCTCTTAACCACTAGAGCTGCCAGAAGAGAAAAGAGAGATAAAACCATCCACAAGCTAGATAATTATTCCCCAGCCCCATACCTAGTCAATCAACAAAAATTCTAGTTTTGATTTTTCTTGAACACAAGCTGACTTTCAAGAATAGAAGAAAATACATGGGTCAGAGGAGGAGGAGGAAAGGCTTAGGAGAGGGTTGGACACTATTTCTCATCTCTAGGTATTTTTATCCACTTTGGAGCTGATTGTGAAATATTTTCTTGCCTTCCATGAGGGAGTACCCCTGTGGCAATTCAACCCCCTGGAAGACTCCTTCCGTGTCCCCAAATGTCACCCACCTGTTCCAGAAGCAGAATTGGACGGCAGACAACCCCTCGCCTTCCTGCAGGTGCAGCAGCCGGGAGAAGCTCACCATGCTCCCTGAGTGCCCTGAGGGCGCAGGGGGGCTCCCACCCCCACAGGTACCTCAGTGCTTGGGGAAGCGGGGCCCTGAATCTGCCTGCAGCAGGAGGGTGGGGAAATACACTGTGCCTCCTGGGTTTGTAGCCTACAGACATTTCAAACTGACCTTTGAGTGGAGGGCTAGGTGAGGCTCTGGGTACTCAGAGGGCCCTGTCGCAGCCACCTGGAAGAAGTCACTGACCACTAGCTTTGTTTTCCACTAGTCACTCCCTGATCAATCTAGTAAGAAAACATCTTTAAACATTAAAAAATCACAGAAGTCATGTGTGCTTATTAAATAAAAATTAGAAAACACAAATAATTGGAAAGGAAAAATATCATCCAGTCATTTAGAGATAACCACCAATAACATTTGGTTCTTATCCAAACAAGATTATATTCAGAATGTGCCTTGAAAACTGCTCTCTTCACTCAATAACATTATGAACACATGTCCATGTTTATAAATATAAATCTACATTGTTGTTTTTAATGCCTAAACACTATCCCACTGCTTGGATTTACTTAACTATTCTCTCAGTGTGGGATGTATGGGTTTTCCATTTTTCTCCATTGTAAACAGCGCTATAGTGTCCATTTAAACGCAAATGAATTTGCACACTTGTTAACAGTCTTAATTAAGAAGCTTGCCATGTGCTGTGTAACTGTGCATACACACACCCACACACACGCACACACACAAATGCGCGTGCGGCCAGAAGCCTATATTTTGCAGGGAATCAGCAACCTGAGTAGCGCCCTCTGCTGAGAGCTCTGAGCTCCACATTGCACCACAGCAAACCTCTCCTGCGGCTTTCAGAGGCAGTACAGAAGAGGCTCACTTAGTCTTGAGTTGTTTAACAGGCCCTCTCTGACGATCTGCCAATAAATGACTAGAGGTGGTGTGTGTCAGGGAGGAGCGCTAGCGTTGGCGCCAGAGAGCCCTGGGTTGGCTGCTTGGCCTCTCTGAGCTTTACTTTCCTTACTTAAAAAATGGGTATGACTCTACTTATTTCATGGCATTAGTATGAGAATTGAAGGAAATAACACAGGCAAAGAAACTGTATTGTTTAGGATTAGATTCAGTGCAGCTGATAACTGTCCTAAACTAACAGTAGATAAAATAACACAATTTGTTTCTCTGTCCTCTGAAAGTTTATGGGGATGGTCCATGAGGTTCTGTTTTGTTGCTCCTCCACGGTAAGTGAGCCTCAAACTCATTGACCAGGGTGGCAGAATCTATTTTCTAGGCAGCAGAATGGACAAAGGGCTAAATAAAAAGAGTAAGCAAAGTGTGCAAATGTGCTGTTTTTTAAACAAGATTTTCAGAAGCTACTATGCAGCAATTTCAATTATACATCATTTGCCAGAACCAAACACCAAAGGAGACTGGGACTGTAATCCTTATTATGGGGGTCCTTGACCCCAACAAACAATGTCAATCACTATGGCATATGGCAGAAGGGCAGAGCAGACAATGGGGGACAACTAAATTTTGCCATAGCATCAGTCACAGTTGCTAGCTTGTAAATGATTCTGTAAATGATGAACATCCTATCTTTTTTATATGTTAAGAGCATATACCTTTATCTTTTTCAAACAACAAATTTCCCTTTGAATCATAGCTCAACAACTGCAGCATCATAGGGATCTCAAAAGAGGGGCCCAAAGAGCTTGGTTCTTTGCTCCCAATTCTCTGGGCCCCAGGAGGACATTGTGCTTCTGTACTGTTTGCTAAAGGCCCCTGTGGCTGCTTCTATTCCAATACATCCAGCTTCAGGACCCCAAGGCTATGATGCCGCACACTGAGTGAGTTCCTGGCTGGGAAAGGGAGGGAAGGCCAAGCAGCTGCATGGGGATTTGTTTCCTCAATGAATCCTAACCTCAAGCTGTCTGCTGAGCTTAGAAACTTACTCTCAGTAGCTAGTCCTTGGGCCTAGGCGAACAATTTAACAGGCCACTATTGCCTAAGTCCTGTGAAAACCAATTCCTGTGATTTTCTATCACTCCTGCATTTCCTCACTATCATTCATGTTTCTGAATGTGAGACATCTGCACAAGAGCTGGTGTGTGTGTGTGTGTGTGTGTGTGTGTGTGTGAGTGTGTCACACACACACTCATTCACACCCATTCACCCCACTCACTCAAACACACCCTCCCATTCAGTCTGGAATAAGGCCAGAGGGTATGGGTTTGATTCAGAGGTAGTGAATTGTCCTCATCTGGAAAATGAGGTGGTAGATGCTGTCTTCTCTAGGGTCCCTCCCTATCCTAACATTGAGTGGTGTGGGTCCTGTGGTGGAAGTGCCCCATCTTTGACTTCTAAAATACATAAAGATAAAGTCATAGGAGTATTTTATGTAACAGAAAATAATGTGTGATAAATTCCAGCCTAGATTCTACCAGTGAAACTTCGCAGTCCTCAGCTTGAAAAGCAGGTGAATAGAGTGAAAAGAGCAAGGACTGTGGGTCAGACAGGCACAGTCTGTCCTCGCTCAGCCACTTCCAAGTTCTGTAACCTGGTGTACGTTAGCAGCCTTTCTGAACCTCAGTTGCTCTGTCTGTAAATTAAAGTAACAAGTCCTCTTCCATAAGGGTATAAGGATTAAGGGAGGTAATAGAACATTAAATCAGTGCCAGGCTGCATGCAGTACTCATTCAGTAGATGCTAGTTCTCCTCCTAGTGTTAGAAGAACAAGGTGAAGAAAGTGAATTAAAGAAGGGAGTACAATGGGAAAGGGGAAGACAGAAAGTGTATAAAAATGCAAAGAATAGTGAATAGTGTGTGATGACAGTTGTTTTAACGCTACCAAAAACTCCCTCAGCTACCTCTGAGTGGCCCTCTTGACTCTCAAGGTTCATGACTGATCAGAAACTGAACACATTCCCAATTTAAAGTAATATTGCCACCTGGCGGTCAAATTCGTAAACTTTTCAATTCTTCAATGTACTGATTAACGAGCTTCCAGCTCTTGAAGTATTTTGAAGGTGATTTGTAAGTTGTAAAGCACTGTTTGAATGCTTTCATTCATGTCACACATTCATTGTTTCAACTATATGCCAAGTACTATTCTGGATGCTTGGCCTACAACGGCTAACAAGTCAGAGGAAGTCCTGAGTTTCATAGAATTTGTATCAGATGGCAGTGTGGTGGGGGCAGGGGGTGCACTGCAGACAAAACAACAGATCAATTGGAAAGAAAATTGCAAATAGAGATGAAGACATGGAGATAGAACAGTATGTTATGATAAAGGGCAACTAGAAATAGAAAATGCTTCTCTAAGGAATAAAATTTGGGCTAAGATCTTAAAGAACAGGATGTAGCCATGTGAGGTTGTCCAGGTAGAGCAATCCAGGTGGAGGGAACCCTCAAGTACAAAGCTAAGCAGGAATGAGAAGTGTGCATTTGAGAAACCGGAAGCCTGGGGATGGCCATGAGGGGCAACAGCCGCAGGTGAGCTCCGACAGCAAGGCAGCGCCGGTCACGTGGGCTGCTTGCACCTTGGAATGAATTTGGACTTGATCCTAGGGTTATTGGAGTGTGATAAGCAAAGTGACTGGGGTGTTCTGGTTTACATTTTTAAAGCTCAGTCTGGCTGCTGGGTGAAGAACGGACTGTGCAGAGTCAGGGTGGAGACCAGTGGGGAAGTTTCTGTAGAGGTCCAGGTGAGGGCTAGACGGGGACTTGGGCTTGGGTACTGGTAATGGAACTGGAGAGATGAGGAGGGACTGAAGGTTTGTTTTGGACTTAAAGCAGTCTTAAAGGGTAACCCATACACTATTAAAAGTAAACTAAGACAGCACGGAATTTATCCAATTCAGCCTTGTATCTTAACTAGTGAAGAGAGAGAGAGAGAGAGACAAAGTTTGGAGGGAGGAGGGAGAGTAAAGGGGAAAAGGTAACAACAGGAGAGAAGCAAGAAGGAGAAAGGAAAGAAGGAGACTGAGACGGGTCTATCCAGCCAGTCAACGGATTGGAGGAAAGACAGGGGTCAAAGATGGCTCCTATATCTCTGAGTGAGGACTAGGGAGATGCCAGCGCCTTATTTAGTATGTTTCCAGTAGCAGAACTGATAAATAATTTTTGGAGAACAAGTAGTTTCACAAACTGTAAGGCTGCCAGCTGCAGTCATTAATACACACGTCTCACTGCCTCAGAGAACCCAGCGCAGCACTGAGATCCTACAAGACCTCACGGGCAGGAACGTCTCGGACTTCTTGGTGAAAACGTATCCTGCTCTTATACGAAGCAGGTAAGAAGAGACCCTTGTATATGCTTCATCCTGGCTCCCCAGAGTAAATATTAGCTAGGGACAGAAGATAATTAACTCTCATGATTTGTCACAGTCAGGGCAGTGGGATTCTTTTCTTTTCCCTAATTTGAGGGCCATATCCATCAGAAACAGCAACTGATGCATGTATAGGTAAAATGCTACTTAACATTCATTTTGGTTTTTTTGTTTTGTTTAGACCAAGCATTCTTAAAGTGTAACTGCGCACTATTCAAAGTACAATAAGAAAGCATAGAATTTATTCAGTAATTCAGCCTCATATCTTAGTTAAGAAAAAGAGAGAAAGTTTGGAGGAAGGAGGGTGAATAAAGGGGAAAAGATAGTGAAAAAAAAAAAGAAGCAAGAAGAAAAAGTAAGAAGCAAAACAGAGCAAGGAAAAAAGTTGACTGGGACAGGAAAGAGGCCGTGGGACAGTGCTTGAGAGAGATGGAGAGTGCTCAGGCTGGCCAGGTTAACTACACCTGTCACATTCTCACTGTAAGGCGTCATCTCTCACTGCCCTTTAACACGCCAAAGAGCTCTTCTAGAAGCTCTGCTTCTCTCAGCTCTGCGGCTGTTCCTAACAAGCACCGCCCATCAGAGCCAGCAGCTTGACAAGAGCATACTACAGAAAGAGTACCTCTAAGGAGCCCTGATCCAGCCCCACATGCTCTGGGGCTTTAAAATATACTCTCTGGCTTTAGTAGTACTTTCCATTGCTTCCCCACCAGATCCTGCACAAGGGACAAATGAACTCAGTTGAGCAGAATCCACTTGGATGATAAAAGCAGCTGTGAGAAGGCCGTGCCAAGCTAGCAGTTAGGAAAATGAAGAATGCCATCCAAGCACAAAAATAAAAGCAGGATGCATAGAATTTATTCCATAATGCAGTAAAAAACAGTAAGCCCCAACTTTGTTCTCAGCAGCCAAGTTGCACATGGAACTTGGTATTTTGTGTTTGATGACTATGATAGTTATCAGGCCTCTCTGGGAGGTCTCACAGTGGCATCTACCTGTTTTCTCATCATTTTACCCTTGATTGGCAGAAGTCAGTCTCTTAACTCCCCCAAGCATGCAGGTGCTTAGCAGAGGCTTGTTTGTGCAGGGTGGAAGAGGGGATGACTCCAGACTTCACCCCACACTGGGTTTGGTAGTTGCCACATTTTCTGGGTCCGTGATCTGACAGATGACCCGAGGACAGGGCCACACAGGAAGCTCAGCATGCATGCTATAACTTGGGAAGCCACTGGTGGAAAAATATCAGTCCTTTGTCCAGATGTATATGTGGGCTTTGCTTCTTGGCTGGGAGGTTTCCACATTGCTTGGATATCAGGAAATACTAAAAATACCCTGAAGACAGACACCTAAATAGGTACTTGGGGAGGAAAGTTAACACTACTGTTGTGCTTGTGGCATTCATTGTATGATTTGTTTTGGCTTTCAGCTTAAAAAGCAAATTCTGGGTCAACGAACAGAGGTAAGAAACTACTTTTGTAAGAAATTAAAATCTCAGATTGATTCACTTAAAACAACTGCACACTAAAAAAGCCACACTTCAAAGCCATGTGTGTGGGCTGCTCTGTGTGTGCTCCCAAAGTCATGAGACATGTCCTGGAGGATGTGTGGCTAAGGACACCCTGGACCCGAAGTGCCTGGAGCAGCAAATCTCCTCGGAGGGCATACACTCTGCAAAGGGCAGTTTGGGAGCATTTGCACTCAGGAGAGGTTCTGACCTCCCAGCATATGATGGTTTAGGAGGCTGCAATGACAGGACACAACCTCAGGCCTCGCACTCTGTGGTCCATTCATTCTAAACCTCACAGGGTCTGGCCCAGCCACAGACTCAACCACTCCTGAGGCATCCTGGTGGCTGCAGTGCTTCCAGGAGTTTGGGGAATCCTCCAGGACCTTCTCAGCATGAGCTTGCCTCTTGGGCTCCCTCAGGAACGGGGCCTCTAGAATGAATGCAGAGCTGAGGTTGACTTGATATCCTGGGCAGATTCTGGACCATGAATGTGAAATCCAGCTTTTAGGATTGCTCCCTAGAGGGAAGTGTAGGACCTCAGCTGAAGGAGAAAGGAGGAACAGAGAATGGGACATTTGAGTCCTTGAGAAATAGAGTTCTCCTCCCCTGCTTGCTGAACTAGCAAATTAATTTTGTTTTGTCAAGGAATATTGGCTTTCATCCTGCCTTTGAAGGGTTTTAGGCTGCAGATCGGCACACCCCAATCCATGCCTGAGCATGGTCACCTGAGATGGCCGGAGCAGTGTGGAAGACGTGTTAGAGCAGGAGACCCAAGCCTGGGGCCCTCGTTAAGGAGCCAGGACACCAGCCAAGGCAGGAGCCCAAGGGGCTACCTGAGCCAGGGTTGCGGTTGGCAGTCAGGAGAGAGGGATACGACAGGGCTGGTCCTGACTAGCTAGAGGTGAGTCCAGTGCTGCCAGAAAAGCCTGTGAAGTACAGAAGCGGCACAGAACAGGACTCATTGATTGGGGCAAGGGAAAGCCAGGTAAGACCTCACAGAGAAGATGACATAACAGGTGAGATGGAAGTGGCTGGAGGCTCAACAAGGGAAAGGCACTCCCAGGAAACTTGCAGCCCCTCAAAGGTGGAGAGACACGAGAGCACCCTGGACCCAGACCACTGAGTGCTCTGGGAGAGACTCGGCAGGGCTGGGAAACAGGGAAGGCATGAGGCAGGTGCAGTCGGAGAGACCGCGCTCGGGAGGGACCAGGAGTCCTTCCTGGAGGCAGTGAGCAAGCATTACAAGTTGGTTTGTGAAGTGGAGCCAAGTAGCTCTCTAGTCCAGATGATTCCCCTAGAAGTACACACTTTCTACACAAACAAAGAGCTACTGGTGCGCATTGAGCACCACAGACTTGCGTCATGGTGCTGATCTGAGGACTTCTTGTTCCCTTGTCAGATATGGAGGCATTTCCATCGGAGGAAAGCTGCCAGGCCTCCCCATCACTGGGGAAGCACTTATTGGATTTTTAAGCGACCTTGGCCAGATAATGAATGTGAGCGGGGTATGTACACAGACTGGAGATTTGGGTAGCACTTGCAATGCACCAGTTATCATGAAACAGAAATTATCATAGGTGCTAAGGGAGGAGAAAAACCTCTTGCTTGTTCCATATGGTCTTTCTAGGGCCCCATGACCAGAGAGGCCTCTAAAGAAATGTCTGCGTTCCTTAAACATCTAGAAACTGAAGACAACATTAAGGTATTAGCCCTGCATAATCTTCTCTAGAGCTAAACCCTCACGTGAGCTGGTAATTTAGTTTTTTCCCCAGCTTAGTTAAATTCCATCCCTCCTCCTATTGAAATCTAGAATGGAATGTCTTGCAGTTGCCAAAGCCTTCCTCCTCCTTGCACTCTTTTTCCTGCAGCTCATTGTGGCTTTAAACAGCTGTGAGTGCAGTGCCTGGGTGCACTGTGGAGCCTAGCCTGACAAAACCCGTGTCTGCCCTGTAGGTGTGGTTTAACAACAAGGGCTGGCATGCCCTGGTCAGCTTTCTCAACGTGGCCCACAACGCTGTCCTACGGGCCAGCCTGCATGGGGACAGGGACCCAGAGGAGTACGGCATCACCGTCATAAGCCAGCCCCTGAACCTGACGAAGGAGCAGCTCTCTGAGATCACAGTGTAAGCCACCGCACGCCCTGCCTCACGGCTTTCCCGTCACCCTCTCCACTCTTTGGATGCCCCGAGAAGATTTGCGCCAGCATGAGTTCTGGACTCCATGGCAAGGCTGTTTAACCCGGCACACATTAAGAGAAGACTTTCAGATGCTTCATGTACCAAATTGTTTAGCTATTCTTTCTCCTCAAATTTACTTATAAAGTAGGCATGTATTTGGTTCTGTTCCTTTTTGGCTCTTGATAACAAATTGCTCCTGGAGCTCCTTTCCAGCATGTGAAGTGAGTGCCCCAATTTCATCTCCCCAGCAGTAATATCTTAGGTTCTGGTAATTTCTCTCAGATGGCCAAGCCTTCAAGATGTCACCAGATCCTTGCCTTCCTCAAGCTGAGGCTCCTACCGCACAGCTTTGGGCAGTAAAAACATCAGTTCTGCAATTTATAGTATGTTTGCTCTATTTCAGGCCTGAATTTGGCGGCAAAGCCTGTATTAGTGTACACCTTTTCTGGGCTGTACAGGGCCTCAGTTTCTTATCCCGGCCCTCTGAGTGCCCTGACCGTGCCAATTGTCACCGGCTAACACTTGAGCGCTGTCCCCTTGGGGCTTCCCTCTGGACACCCCGGATGCAGGAAGAGTAGCCTGTCCTATGTGAATTCTCACTCAGCCCAAGTTTCTGTACCTCCTTCAAGCCTTCTGAGTCTGAAATATCAAATAGGAGTCTCTTGTGATTGTAAAAGTACTACATAAAATAGTATATGTTCATTAAAGAAAGTTTATATTAGTTTAAGAACTAATGATCTATAACCCTACACAGTTTATAGAGTATTTCCCTCAATGTTTTGTGTGTTTCCTTCCCACTCTTTGCTCTGTTCTTCCTACGTGTGTGGATCCTGCATCTTGTAGTTCTGTCAGGCCCTGTGACAAGCCCATCTGGCGCCTTTGTGGGAATCAGTAGATGGGCACTGTCCCATGCCAGGACGCATGGCTGGTATGAATTCTGGGCTGGATTTCAGCCTGCTTGCCCTGCCAGTCAAACATTTCCTATTTGTTCCAGGAAGGGGTGAATAGAACCAAGCTTCTGCATAACTGGCCTGTTCTCTTTTCACTTTAACTTACATTGGGAACATTTCCCCATGTTATAATGCATTTCTTGAAAGCATGATTTAGCAAGATAGTTTATTTCTTTTAACAAAAATAAATTTCATAGATCATATAGCTGTCAAGTGTATCTATGACAAATTATTAGAACTAATAAGAGTATTGTAGTATACAAGATTAATATAAAATATGTTTCTATACACCATCAGATACAAATAATTAAAAATGTAATGAAGAGAAAACTTGTCTAGACTTTCATAGTAACATTGAATAATATTCAATATTAACATTAATAATAATATTCAATGTTAACATGGAACAGGAAACCCACAAATGTTCATTTCACCTTGACCCAGGTTGACTTAGATAATTGAGTGGAACAACAGCTTTCAGGCTTGGGAAGGGGGAATCTGGAGCCCATTACCTGGGCTGGGTGAGGTCTTCCCAGGGCCAGACTTTGCTCTCTCCTGCTTCTGCCCCTCCTTCACCTCCCTCCTTCTGCGTCTCCTGACCTGCTGCAGGCTGACCTCTTCGGTGGATGCTATGGTTGCCATCTGCGTGATTTTTGCCATGTCCTTCGTCCCAGCCAGCTTCGTCCTTTATTTGATCCAGGAGAGGGTGAAGAAAGCCAAGCACCTCCAGTTTGTCAGTGGAGTGAGCCCCACCACCTACTGGCTCACCAACTTCCTCTGGGACATGGTAAGTGTCAGCTGGTGGCATCTCCCTCGCCTGACTGGGTCCCAGGTGGGCAGGCCTTTACATCTGCACTGCCGGAGGGAATGCGGCAGGGTGGGGCTTTCGTTCCACCAGGACTGCTGAAAGGTGCTGTGCCGGGGCCTTTTGTCTGCTGTCTCTTCACATCTTAGAAGGGTAAGAACTGGGAGCCCCAGGCTGGTGAAGGATGTGGGCTCAACTTAACTGCTGAGTGGGGGCTCTGGGAGCTGTGCACCAGGGGCCTTCTGACCCACTGCAGGTGTGAGCCTGACCTTCTTGGGAAAAATCTGGAGCTACAAAGGTAATATCAAGATGTCCCTCACCCTACATCCTCTTCTTAAACCCTGCCTCACCCCCAAAGGGGTAAGGATGGAACTTCCTCTATGGTAATTGGCAGATATAGGACCCCCAATTAAACTTAAATTGCAGGTAAAGCAATGAATAATTTTTAGTATATATCTCACCCCCCAAATATTACATGGGACATACACTGAAAAATTTATTGATTGTTTATCTGAAATCAAAATTTAACTGGGCATTCTATATTTTTATTGGTGAAATCAGATAACCCTATTCAGTGGCCCTATTTTGCTTTCTGAGAGTAGCGAGAACTTCACTGTATCAGATTCAGCAACACTTTAGGGAACATGAAGAAAAAAGTTATTTATCGCCAACAGCAGATGCCACCTCTCTCAGGAGCAGGGTTGGTGGGGATAGGAAAGGATCAGGGTGGGTCCCTTTATGACAGGCCTCCCAGTGAAAATGAATCAGCAGCAGAGGCCTAGTTATAATGCAACAGAATCATTACTGTACCAACTCCAGTCTATTGTGGCCTCCTTAGGCAATGACATCCTTTGTTTTATCTCAATTTTCTAAAACTAATGCCAGTCTCCACTTCATGTGATGACAGGATATATCACAATGGAGACCAACACAAACAGCCTTCTCCAAGTATGGTTTTTAATAATGATGGCAAATATTAGGGTTTATGAAGACATGATTTATTTTATCTTACTCAACTTGTTAAGCAGCTATCACTTAATATTACAAAACCAGAAATCCATCAGTAGTAACTAAAATTTTTCCCCTCTCTTCTACCCACATGAGAAACACTTTTGAACACAAAGGAGTAGGTCAGAACATACAAGCCTCAGTTTGGACAGGAACATCATTTGCAGGCCCCGCACTGGCCCTGTGCTTTGCCCATGAAAGCAGAGAGGCTCATCTGCACTGAGGAGCTATAGAGGTGCTTGGTTTGGCATTCTACTATTCCTTAAAGACGAGGAATAGAATTTACACTTGGGGCTGACACAGGCCTGACTGAAAACAGAAATCTCTGAGCCTAAGGAGAAATATGTGGGCAGAAGGGCAGAGTGAGTGTCTGTCTGAGTGGGAGGTGATACTGGAAAAGTAGACACTTGGCAGCCCAATGAAGAGTTAGAAGGTGGGAAAGATGATGTTAGCAGGCTTCTGATGCTCTAGAATTTTAAGACTGGCCTGCAGTCTGAACTCTAGGATTCATGGTGTTGGAGCTTAGCATCCTGATTAGCTAGGGGCAAAACCAAAACATATGCCTGGGGTCATTTGTTCAATGAATGATACAAACACTTATTGTTTCTATCATTTATTCAATTATTTTTTTATTAAGGTATCATTGATATACACTCTTAGGAAAGTTTCACATGAAAACATTGTGGTTACTACATTCCCCATATTATCAAGTCCCCCCCACACCCCCAATGAAGTCACTGTCCATCAGTGTAGTAAGGTGCCACAGAGTAACTACTTGTCTTCTCTGTGCTGCACTGTTTTCCCCATGAACCCTCCCACACCATGTGTACCAATCATAATACTGCTCAATCCCCTTCTCCCTCCCTCCTGACCCACCCTCCCCCACCCCTCCCCTTTGGTAACAGCTAGTCCCTTCTTGGAGACTGTGAGTTTGCTGCTGTTTTGTTCCTTCAGTTTTGCTTCATTCTTATACTCCACGAATGAGGGAAATCATTTGGCACTTGTCTTTCTCTGCCTGACTTATTCACTAAGCATAATGCCCTCTAGCTCCATCCATGTTGCAAATGGTAGGATTTGTTCTCTTCTCATGGCTGAATAGTATTCCATTGTGTATATGTACCACCTCTTCTTTATCCATTCATCTACTGATGGACACTTAGGTTGCCTCCATATCTTGGCTATTGTAAATAGTACTGCAATAAACATAGGGGTGCCTATGTCCTTTTGAATCAGATCTTCCTATCTTTCGGTAAATTCTTAGGAGTGGAATTCCTGGGTCAAATGGTATTTCTATTTTGAGTTTTTTGAGGAACCTCCATATTGCTTTCCACAATGGTTGAAATAACTTACATTCCCACCAGCAGTGTAGGAAGGTTCCCCTTTCTCCACATCCTTGCCAGCATTTGTTGTTGTTTGTCTTTTGGATGTTGCCATCCTAACTGGTGTGCGGTGATATCTGATTATGGTTTTAATTTTCATTTCCATGATAATTAACGATGTGGAGCATCTTTTCCTGTGCCTGTTAGCATCTGAATTTCTTCTTTGGAGAATTGTCTTTTCATATCCTGTGCCCATTTTTTAATCAAGTTATTTGCTTTATGGATGTTGAGGCATGTGAGTTCCTTATATATTTTGGATGTTAACCCCTTGTTGGATATATCGTTTACAAATATATTCTCCCATACTGTAGGATGCCTTTTTGTTCTACTGATGGTGTCCTTTGCACAGAAACTTTTCAGTTTGCTGGAGTCCACTTGTTCATTTTTACTTTTGTTTCCCTTGCCCAAGGATATGCATTCAGGAAAAAGTTGATTATGTTTATATTCAAGAGATTTTTGCCTATGTTTTCTTCTAAGAATTTTATGGTTTCATGACTTACATTCAGGTCTTTGATCCATTTTGAGTTTACTTTTGTATATGAAGTTAGACAATAATCCAGTTTCATTCTCTTGCATGTAGCTGTCCAGTTTTGCCAACACCAGTTGTTGAAGAGGCTGTGATTTCCTGATTATATGTCCATGGCTCCTTTAATCATTTATTAATTGACCATATATGTTTAGGTTTATATCTAGGCTCTCTATTCTGTTCCATTGATCTATGGGTCTGTTCTTGTACCAAATTGTCTTGATTACTGTGGCTTTGTAGTAGAGCTTGAAGTTGGGGAGCATAATCCCCCCAGCTTTATTCTTCCTTCTCAGGATTGCATTGGCTATTCAGGGTCTTTTATGGTTCCATATAGATTTTAGAAATATTTTCTCTAGTTCACTGAAGAATGTTTTTATATTTTTTTTCCCATGCAAGAGACTTTATTATCTGAAAGAGAGAGTGGCTGCCCCAGAGGTGGGTGGGGAGAGAGAGAGAGAGAGAGGGAGCAGCAGAGAGAGCAGTGGGACAGAGAGAGCAGAGAGAGAGAGAGAGAGAGAGAGAGAGCAGGGAGAGCAGGGGGACAGAGAGACCGAGACAAAGAGAGAGAGGGCAGCAGCGTGGTGCCTTTTATTGTGGGGGGTCCACTGGCCTGTTGCTTTAGGGGAGGGTCGGGATGTTTAGAGATAAGGCGGGGTAAGCCCAGTCAAGCCCCAGGCAAGCCCAGGCATAATTCTCACGGGCTTATGTGCGTGGGACCATGGGGCAAATGGAGGATAAATTACTAGATTCTTACATTCCTCCCTTTTCTGTTTTATAAGTGGTAGAGGATTTGGAAGAGGTGAAGGTTAGTCTTCAGTAACTGCTTCCTGCTGATTAGGGGCAATGAAGTTCATTTTTGTATTGATGGGGGCGGTCCTCAGATGAGCCCTTGGTCTGCAGTGGTGATGGCATTTTCCAGGTTCAATAAGGATCATCGTCTTTGGAGAGGGGTTGGTAATCCTGTAATATAAGCAAATCGAAGGCCAGTGTTGGGCAAGAAGATGAATGACCAGGGAAGTGGACGGTGAGCCCGTGGAGGAGGATCGGGCAGTGAGGGTTCCCAAAGCAGCTCAGGTTCCCGAAGGAAGAGCAAAGTCAATGGGAGAGCCTCATCCGAAGTCATGGCACCAATGAAAGGATATCTCGCCACGACCCTCCTTACCCAGAATGACTCAGGAAACACGGGCCCATGCAAGAGATTTTATTATCGGAAAGAGAAAGTGGCTGCACCCAGAGAGAGAGGAAGCAGCAGGACAGCAGGACAGAGAGACAGAGAGAGCAGAGAGAGCAGTGGGACAGAGAGACAGAGAGACATAGAGAGAGCAGGAAGCAGCAGAGGGGCAGACAGAGAGAGAGAGAGAGAGAGAGAGAGAGAGAGAGAGAGAGAGCAGCCTTCTTTTGATATTTTGATAGGGATTGCATTGAATCTGTAGATTGCTTTAGGCAGGATGGTCATTGTGACAATATTAATTTTTCCTATCCATGAGCATGGGATATATTTCCATTTATTGGTATCTTCTTTAATTTCTCTCATGAGTGTCTTGTAGTTTTCAGGGTATAGGTCTTTCACTTCCTTGGTTAAGTTTATTTGAAGGTATTTTATTCTTGTTGATGTAATTGTGAATGGAATTGTTTTCCTGATTTCTCTTTCTGCTAGTTCATTGTTAGTATATAGGAATGCAACAGATTTCTGTGTATTTATTTTGTATCCTGCAACTTTGCTGAATTCAGTTATTAGTTCTAGTAGCTTCAGGGTAGATTCTTTGGGGTTTTTTTGTGTGCAATATCATGTCATCTGAAAATAGTGACAGTTTGACTTCTTCCTTACCAATCTGGATGCTATTTATTTCTTTGTGTTATCCGATTGCCATGGCTAGGACCTCCAGAACTATGTTGAATAGAAGTGGAGAGAGTGGGCATCTTTGTCTTATTCCCAATCCTAAATGAAAAGCTTTCAGCTTCTCGCTGTTAAGAATGATGTTGGCTGTGGGTTTGTCATATATGGTCTTTATTATGTTGAGGTACTTTTCTTCTATACCCATTTTGTTGATAGTTTTTATCATAAATGG